TGTGACTGAGGGCCACAGTGACTGGTCTCCATGCTGGACTGAGGAGCACAGGGACTTGGTCGCCTGCTGGGAACTCTGAGGACACAGGGACTGGCCTCCCTGCTAAGACTTCTGAGGGAGCACAGGGATGGCCTCCTGCTGGACTCTGAGGACACAGGTACTGGCCCTCCTGCTGGGACTGAGGAGCACAGGGACTGGCCTCCTGCTGGGGAACTCAGAGAGCACAGGGACAGTCCTCCTGCTGGGACTGAGGAGCACAGGACTGGTCTCCTGCTGGGACTGGAGGAGCACAGGGACTGGTTCTCCTCTGGACTCTGAGGAGCCCAGGGACTGGCCGCCTGGTCTGGGACTGAGGACACAGACTGGCCTCCTGCTGGGACTCTGAGGAGCACAGGATGCCTCCTCGATGGGACTCTGAGGAGCACAGACTGCCCTCATCTGGGACGCTGAGGAGCACAGGGACTGGTCCTCCTGCTGGTCCAGAGTCCAGGACTAAACAGTGGGAAGCAGTGTTTCAGATTTTATGCAGCTAAAACAGTCTTCCTAAAACGTGAGACGGGCAATATTCAGAATCCAGGTTAAAAACAGATTTTAATCCTGACGTTTCTATTTAAGCCTTTTCTTGTGATTGGCCGTGTGTAGACAGGGCTATACCAATAACCTTGCCTAATGCTAAAGGGTTATGAACCAATGACATCAGGACTTTTCCGCGTGGCCTCGCCCAGCATTTTGTGTTACAATTTGAGTAAACTTCTGAACCATCAAACGACAGAATATAAATAACATATGTACATGAAGATACTGATACAGGTTAAAAATCAAAGATATACAGAATACATACAGGTGAACAGAACCTGGTCTCTCGTCACAGCAGAGGACCTGGTCTAAAAACAACTCACCTGGTCTCTCACCTGGGTCTCCCCTCTCTCCCCTGGTCTCTCACCTGGTCTCTCCCCTGGTCTCTCCCCTGTCTCTCCCCTGGCTAACCATTCAATCCAAACCGGGGGGAAAACAAAAAGGAGGCAACTGTGATTCCGTGGACACAAAAATGGCTCTTGTGCTCCGAGAAGCATTCCACAGTCCCCCAGCAACAAACTGCTTTCTTCTTCTACAAGTACCTTTTCTCAGGACGGACGCAGCCAATCAGAGGAAGTGGCAGTCACGGCCAGACACCGGGGAGCACGCCGTCCAATGTGGATGGAACTCTTTGGACCAGATTGTGAACTTTGTTGTTTTTTAGGACGGACACAGAATGACTCCTCTGCTCTGAGCGTGTTCATGGTTCTGTTCATGGTTCTGTTCATGATGTTCTGTTCATGGTTCTGTTCACCTGTATGTATTCTGTATTCTTTTATTTTTTACACCTGTATCCGTAATCTACATTGTACATATGTTATTTTTATTCTGTCGTTTGATGGTTCAGAAGTTTACTCAAATTGTAACACAAAAATGCTGGTGCGAGGCCACGCGGAAAAGTCACTGATGTCATATGTTTTCATAACCCTTTAGCATTAGGCAAGGTATAGTGGTATATAGCACAGTCCACACACGGCAACTCCACAAGACAAGGCTTTAAATCAGAAAGTATTTGGCAGACCCCAAAAACAGACCACAATTTAGCTTACTCAATGAAGCAGACTTTGAATTAACAGGTGTCCGCTTACCTTATTCTTGTCAAACAGGTGCGCACGGGCTGTCCGAGAGGTCTGCCAACTCTTTTCCGCGTCGGAAAATTCAATTTAAACACAAAACAGAGAAAGTGAGGGAGCAAGAGCAAGCCCATCCAAAAGCGAGCCCTTTCAGCGTCCACTGGGATTTCTCCCCTTCCAGATAACGTGCTGTTGCTCCCACACGCCGAAAAAAAGAAACAGAGGATATTCCCTCAAAACAATCCAGAGAATGGCACACACGGAGCCGCGCATTCTCCACCAAATCTGTTAGGATTTAGCAGACAGAGACGGATCGTGGTGTGCCAAACTCTGGAAGTTTATTTAAGTTTCTCTCCAGTTCCACTGGTTTACTCTGTTTCTTTTCCTCAGACAGAATAAAGGCAGTACACAGTTTATATAGTCATTGTCACGTCACACATCGAAAGACATACGTGTCACAAAGAGACAGTCACATCATAGTCATAACATGGAGTCCTTGTAGAGTCCTGCACGTAGGCCATATTGCTATCTAATACTAATAAGGATAATACTAATTTGATTAATGATGTACATTCATCCCAAATGCCTGACAATAATATCTTTAGATAATAAAAAGTAATAAATCACTGACCACTATAGAAGTGTAAATGTTGACCATTTGCCTTACTGTGTTCACAGTTTTATTCCTGAGAATGAGAATAGACATGGAGCAAAATCCCACTAATAATATGCCACTGATAATTAGAGCATAATACCACAGAGAGATTTATTAGATTAAAATGTATGTTTAAGAATTTGGCTCAATAGAAGCAAATATGCAAACATATTTGTGAATAGATTAGAATAGTTTTAAACTATAGTGAATCATGAAAGTAAAGTACACAGTCTAAGATTGAAAAGTGAAAACAATACAGTGAAGTGTAGTGTAAACAATTAGCATTAGAATAAAAGTATAGAGTAATAAAAGTGAAATTAGCTTCAAATTTGAGACTCAGCTCGTTTTTGTCTGTGTTTTGACTGAATCTGCTGAGTTCTTGTGTGTCCAATAGTGTTTGTTTGTTTTTATTTTTGATTTGTTTTTTGTTTGTTTATTTACTTTATTTTTGTTTGTTTGTTTTTTTTCCAGGATAGAGGATAAAATCCACTGATATTGATTTGATGATTATGAGTTTAATGCATACATTTTCTTTGTCTTTTAATAATTTTTTAAAGTTTTAGATTTTTTTTTTTTCTTCTTTTTCCACTTTATTGATTGATCGATTTGAGTGATCACATGTGATTATGTGATCAAAGGGGAGGGTATTAGTATTAGATAGCAATATGGCCTACGTGCAGGACTGTACAAGGACTGTACAAGGACTCCATGTTATGACTATGATGTGACTGTCTCTTTGTGACACGTATGTCTTTTGATGTGTGACGTGACAATGACTATATAAACTGTGTACTGCCTTTATTCTGTCTGAGAGAAAGAAACAGAGTAAACCAGTGGAACTTGAGAGAAACTTAAATAAACTTCCAGAGTTTGGCACACCACGATCCGTCTCTGTCTGCTTGAATCCTGACACATGTTTATGTATGAGTATGTGAAAACATTAAGAGAAACACATGCTGTCAAAGAGTCAATGTTCAGATGTTGTGATCATTACCTGATTCTGAGTTAATGCATAGATTATAAATGTCTTTACATGGGATGGCTTACATGACTTTCATCTGATGTGAGGATGTATTTGTGGTTGGTCACACCTCTGAACCAGAAATGTGGGAAAACAAGAGAAAACTATATATATATATATATTAGTGCTGTCCAACGATTAAAATATTTAATCGCGATTAATCGCATGAATTTCATAGTTAACTCGCGATTAATCGCAAATTAGTCACACATTTGCGTGCTGTGTGCAATTGCTTTTTTTATTGAAAACAACGTGTAGTGTTATATTACACACTAACATTTGATGCAAAATCATCAATAAATGGATGACAAAATAAATAATTGGTAACAAAAAGCCCCTTCAATGTGTGTGTGTGGGTGTGTGTGTGTATGTGTGGGTATAGACCATAGACTGTATAGAAACATCATGGTGTCATTATGATGATGATAAACAATCTGTAAATATTTTGTAAATTTGTTCATGTAAATACTCTATGCTGTTTCTCTGTTTACCTTCGGTATATCTATGACTGTATACTGTTTGCTTGTATTGCCTTTTTTATTAACCCCTCCCCCCATCTCCCACTTCATGTCCCTCCCCTCCTATGTGCCCTTCTGGGTTTCTTCTTTGGCCCCCTGTATCTCCAACTACATATTGTTTGTAATCTCTGTCTACAATGTATCTGAACTAGTCCTTTTCTTTGTTTCTATGTGTTTGTCTGCAATAAAAAAAAAAAAAAAAAAAAAATTTTTTTTTTTTTTTTATCGCGCGATAAAAAAAATGACGGCGTTAATATTGATTTGCGTTAACGCGTTAATAACGCGCTATTTTGGACAGCCCTAATATATTATATATATATATATATATATATATATATATATATATATATATATCAAATGGTATCAAAAACAATTCAAGCTCGTGCTTTTTTTGGTTTCTCTGATGGGTCCCATGAACTCTTATACTGTTATAAATTGGTTCGAAGTTTGTCCAGTGTCCAGTGCTGGGCCTGCAATTACCACAAGCAGCTTCAGCGCTTACATGGATTTAGTGTCCAGTAAACAGGCGGACTGAGAGAGAGTCTATTGTTCTGGCCTCTAATACTGCAGGCAGCACCAGGCAAATCCCACTGGCCTTAGCCAGCCCTTATCGTCTCCGACCTCTGGGCAGTACCATGACGAGCACAGATTTATACCTGTGTATAACGGTGTATTTACATATTTTAAATGTGGTTTCTTCTCAACACAAGAACTATATAAAGTGACACATACCTGAGTATGTGTCAACGTTTTGTCGGACAAAGGTAACGTCATTCCTGTACATAAGGAGTATTCCCATACACTTAAATACATGACATGTATCAGCTGTTGCTGATTTTAAGATGACAAACTACAGAGACTGAAAAGAATCATACTTCTCGCTCGTACTCGCGTACGCAGGAAGTGCACGCGCACGTAACGCTCGGTACGTGAGGAGCATGACGTCAGTACGTGCTTGAGCTGCCTGAAAATGTTCTCCCGTGTTGTTGGATTTCGAAGGAGCGCAGGACTTTTCGATGAAATAATACCCGTTTACCCCAGAGGAAAACACTACCAGGCCGCATGATCCGACGCAGACGCTCTTTGTGTGGCCACTAAGTTGGAAAACTTGTGGCTTGGGGAGACTATAACTTTGGGGGGTCGTTTTCTACGGAGTGATGTCGAATCCTGGCTCTCGAAGGAACGGGTCCAGCATCAAAATCCGACTGACAGGTAAAAGGCTCAGGGGGGAAGCTTGTTAGCACACCTACAGTTCTCTTCCACAGGTCTTTACATTAGAGTGCCTTTTGTTCCATAGACTCCACGGGCGAGTGTGTCTTTGAAAGCTGTCAGCTCTGCAGTTTGTCTAAACATCCGGTTTTTGTGGCAACACAGCAACATAGCACTAGCCTGTTAGCTTAGCTTCAAGCATTCATTCAGAATAACATTGTTATTTTTCTGTCGAGCCGATATATGTGTGTTTATGTTGACTTTTATAACTGTCATGTGGTCGGTGTGCATGTGAATGTATGGATCACCAGTGATTTCTCCTTTTAACGCTGTTGTATTGTGTTGTCAAATAGTAGTTAGCTTTGACCGCTAAGGGCTGCTACACCCATCTTTGCATCTGACCACCAGACGAACTCCCCTGACCTGAAAGCGACGTGCCCTATTCAGGGAATCAAGTAAATGTCCAACTGCGTCTCTATTAGTCAATGTTTCGCTGGCTCTGGCTTGGCATGTTTACCACAGTACCCTGTATTGATCGTCAATCCGCTACTATGTTAGCTGAAGCCACACCGTGTATCAGGCTGTGCAGTGGTGGTTCAAAGTTAGTCTCCTGCTTCTCACTCCCAAATCATGTCAAACTAAAGTCTTTACCGTAGCCCTTCTGGCCGCAGCGACCCCCCTTTCACATGACTATGTTCTTTGCTCTTTGCCTCGGGGCAGACACGTTGTCCTTTACCCTCAGACGTTATGATGTTGGTCTTAGTTTTAGTAAAACGTATAACATAATACTTTTCTCGGAGCTGAATCATTTGTTTTGAGTTAACGGTGTTAATATGAAAAGTTCTGACATCTTACTAGTGTTTGTTTATTCTGTTCATGCTAGAGATATTTATCAGGGTCATAAAGAACAATTGCCTTCACTGTTCCACCTCATTACACAGATACTGTAAGGCCAAGTGTTGTACCTCTTACAACTTGTAAGAGGCTCATTCATGACAGTCTTTTCTGTGAAAGAGCCACATAGAGTAGGATAATTAATGTTTAGCTGTATTGTATGAGCCCAGCATTTTGTGTTCAGCAGCATCCCTTTATTTGAGCTGAATGGAAACAGAGGTTATTTCCCTGGCTGTGCCCCGCCCCCACAGGTATGAGAGGAATCCTAATTGGGTGAGGAATGCACCCTGAGCCAATGGCAGCACAATGCTGCTTGGCTGGCCGTGCTTTGTTTAGTCTGTCAGGGCAAGGGGTGTTTGGCCCAGATGAGACGCGTGTCTGAGGCGGGGGCACACAAAGGCCTCAGAGCCCACTACAGCTGACTCTCACCAACCGGTCACGGCCCTAGTACATAGGCCACTGTTGTTAGTGTCACAATGAGAGAATGAGTTCAGGATCAGACGCACTGTACAGAGTCTGAACTACTTTTACAGCAGATGTATTCAACTAAATATTAGCTCAGATATGTACACTGTATGTAGTTATTATGTAACCAAATGATAATTTGTTGAAATCTATTGGAGTGCACATTGAAAGACCATGCAAAAAAATACAAAGTAGGTCAACCTTTTAGTTCCTAATGTTTAGTACAGGTAGTTGAAGTCTTTGGGATTGGATTAATTTGCTCACGGTCGCTCCACGTGCCGCTTAGGAACTGCTGTCAGATACTTGGGTTTGGCTCCAAGTGCTCTTGTGGCGGTCGCAGCAACAGTAATCACTTTGGCCGTAAGGTAACTAAGCTGTTTTAACAGAATAGCGGAACTAGGACAGTCACGTGAAGGATGTGAAAGGTTACAAAATAGTATGAAAAAAACACAATGGAATGAGGAAAGTGCTGTTTTAAGAGCTGAATAAGCACTTGTAATCCTCTCAGCCACAGGCCATACATCTTTTACGAACATATGATGTGCGTTGTGTAAAGTGTTCCATGCTGACGAAGACACAAAGTATTTCACAATATTGGTTATGATGAGGAACCGAAATGGCCTTCTGTTTTGATGGTAGTCCACAGTTATTAAAGAACTCGCTGTGACCTGATGTCGCTGTCTCGTTCAGGAGACTGTGGAATATAACGTCCCTCAAATCAAGCACCATGCCCAAAATGCAGGTGTTTCAGATTTCCTGCCGATGAGCTCATGGAGACAATTCAGTGGTATTTTGTTTTGGCAGAGAAGAAGAAATAACTTATTAGTAGCGTTCGATTTGAAATTTCAATCTGTTTTTCTTTTTTGTCTTTGATTGGCTAAACCTCGTAATACTAATAACAATCATGGTATTTAACATAAGGAGGAAGAGAGATTAATTTTATAAGACTTGGAAAAATGGAGATACCCTGGAATGAACTTAACCCCTGCATGTTCAAACTCATCTCTTCGTCTTTACGAGTCACCTTTAAGCCTTTGTATTTCCTTCAGTTACAAGGGAAAAGTCTTCATGCAATATTATTGGCATGTATAAAAGCTTATTTCTTGTATGTACAAATGTATAAAGCACTATTGATCCGAGCGAGAGCATGTTTTGACTTTAAATTCCTTTGTGCTCCCTCATGATTAAACAGACAGCGCTCTTTCCTGTCTGCTCTTTCACAACTCAAAAAAAGATAGAAGGAGCGGGGAAAACTGTCAGCAGCAGCAATGTCCTTGGCAGATTTAGGAATTTCCTGAATCTTTGTCACACGTTCAGAGGAGCTGGTCAAGGGAGAAAGAAGGCTGAAATTACAGGCTGCAGTGAAAGGGATTGACTTCCTGTTTGGTTGGTTGAATGAAGAGAGCAGACTAAAAGAAGAGTCTGTGTGTGTCTGGTCTTAGATGGCCTCAGATGCTCGGCTATCCTGCTGCCATTCTTTATTGGTTGGTCACAGGAAGTGGTCCCGGCTTCACCAGACAGGCCTATGACTGACTGAACCATGACACATAGCCAAAGCACCTCCGGGCGTTGCTTTTGTTTCAGGCACCATGGTGATTCAATTAGGCACAGCTTGTACGAGTGTTAAAAAGCTCTTTTGTTCTCGTGACATCAATACAGTTTTCTACCTGTAATGGTGCCCACACTGTCCCCATTGTTCATTCAGTGTTGGTTTTTGGTCCTTGGTCCTATCACATCCTAATATCCATTCGTGATAATGCAGCATCCAATACTGCTAAAATATATTTTAAAATGTTCATTCGTCAAATTGGAAATGGAAGTTAGATTAACAGATTTATAAAGAAGTTGTGGAAACAATCATTCACTAATTGGTTATTAAAACAATTGTATTTCTCTCCAAGGGTTGTCAAGAGTCAGTTATTAATCAGATAACGATACTAATTTAAACTCTACTCAATATTAACTAAAATTACATATTAAGAACAACATTTGTCATTATTTCTTTTTATACATTTTAAACTATATCAGAATGAAAATCATTGTTTTTAATTTAAATGAATTGACCAAAATGCATAAATAATTGCTCTCATATCAAGCTTGTGGGTATACAGACTGGTAGCGTCATAATATTGAGGATTGTGTATTGAATTGTATTCATTTGTGTAAGAGTTGATATAATTTTAGATCTGAGCTTTTGAACTGACATCTCTCTCTCAAAAGCAAGGCAAGTTTACCTGTATAGCACAATTAATTCACAAGGCAACTCCAAGTGCTGAACTAAACAAGATAGCATTAAAACCATAAATCATCACATAACATTAAAAACAAAGATAATTAAGATAAAGATAAAATATAAAATCCCTCATTTGTGTGCACAGCTAAACAGAACTGTTTTTAACCTGGATTTAAACATTGTCAGAGAAGAGAACTGTCTCACATTTTCAGGAAGATTGTTCTAGATTTTAGCTACCTGAATTTGAAATGCAGAATAATGATAAAGTAGTAGCAGTCTCTGACAAGGTGGTATTTTGAGTTAATGCTGTCACTGTGGTAGTTGATTCACGTGTTATTTTAAGTTGTAAAATGATGACCAAAGTGACGTCTGTCTGGCCTCTAACCCCTAACGATCTCTTGCGGAGGCCGATCACAGAAAAGCGCTTCTGTCATTTTTACTTCTCCCTTTGTGCTGTGATCGTGATAACTCACCAGCATCAGCAGCACTGTTTACTGCTATTCAAATATCAACCTCCTGAGCAGAACTCGTCCCACTTATGAATACATTTGCCTGCATCGGCCTACACACTGTCTTAAATTAACATAATTACGTTACAACTTGCATTTGCTTCATAATGACTGTCTTTTTTCTTTCAGTGTTGTGTGCCAAGAACCTCGCAAAGAAAGACTTTTTCCGTAAGTATAGTGTGTGATCGTCAGTAAATATGAGGAAAACATGACATTTTACCAAATAGATTAAGCGGATAAACAGATCACACATATTCAATTCAATTCAATATCATTCAATAGCAGGTATCTTACATAACTGTTGAATTCTGCCAACACAAATCACAAAATGAAACGGTTCAAAAACACAGTGATGACCAACGTCCATACGTGTTGAGAAATGTTGTTGAATGTTGAGTGTCTTGGATTATCACCTCTCTCCTTTTGATTATATTTGACACAATGACAACGTTTAAAACAAAAGTTTATTGTTTTATTCGTCCCACAGCTGGGAAATTTCAGTTACAGCATTTTGTTCCTCAGAAAAGAGAGAAAATATAGATAAAACATCCTCCTGTTTTATTGTGCATTTTAAACATTGAGCCGTTGCCCTTATGTGTCCTAATTATATGTCAACCACAACAATTGACCCAAAATCACCAATGTGATCAATGTTTAACAAAGGCCAAAACACAAAGAGTTGCAGATAATATAGAAAGGGATAATACACCAACTACTAATGGCAACTATAAACGATTCAATGAACAGAAACAACTGCTGTTTCTTGAGAATGTTTGTAGTTTGAGGGAAACTAAAGCTTTATCTAAGAGAGGCTGGTTTTAGCACATTCCTGATTCATCATTAGAATTATAGTCTGAACATTCTTTATAAGATGATGCAAAAAAAAATGGCATTGAGAGATTCGGTTTTGTCAATATCACTCAATACATTTTTGTTATAATAAATAACAACAGCAGTAGCCTAGGAAGGACTTTAGAAAGTTGGCCAACAAGAAAAATGATAATCAAACCGTTCAAACACAGGAAATGCATTACAAACAAACACATAGGAGCCACTGGACCATGGTGAGTGGGATGATCACTGCGTAAATGTTAATAAATGTGACTCTCACTCCTAATTACACATTTAGGGCCTAATATTGTTTTGTTGTTGTTATGTACTTACGTAGATGCACACTGAAGCTCTGTTTTGTGCGCCTACAGGGCTTCCGGACCCGTTCGCAAAAGTGGTAGTGGATGGATCCGGCCAATGCCACTCCACAGACACAGTAAAGAGCACACTGGACCCCAAATGGAACCAACACTACGACCTGTAAGACCTCAAACCTCACTTTGTTTGTTTTGAGGAGCACTTTGCTGAGATCTCTCACAACAATTACTAAATTTATTTACGGTTTTTTATATACAGTGCCTTGTGAAAGTATTCGGCCCCCTTGAACCTTTCAACATTTCGCCACATTTCAGGCTTCAAACATAAAGATATAACATTTTAATTTTTTGTCATTAATCAACAAGTGGGACACAATCGTGAAGTGGAACGAAATTTGTTGGATAATTTAAACTTTTTTAACAAATAAAAAACTGAAAAGTGGGGCGTGCAATATTATTCGGCCCCTTTACTTTCAGTGCAGCAAACTCACTCCAGAAGTTCAATGAGGATCTTTGAATGATCCAATGTTGTCCTAAATGACTGATGATAATAAATAGAATGCTGTGTGTAATCAAGTCTCCGTATAAATGCACCTGCTCTTTGATAGTCTCAGGGTTCTGTTTAAAGCGCAGAGAGAACCATGAAGACAAAGGAACACACCAGGCAGGTCCGAGATACTGTTGTGGAGAAGTTTAAAGCCGGATTTGGATACAAAAAGATTTCCCAAGCTTTAAACATCTCAAGGAGCACTGTGCAAGCAATTATATTGAAATGGAAGGAGTATCAGACCACTGCAAATCTACCAAGACCCGGCCGTCCCTCCAAACTTTCATCTCAAACAAGGAGAAGACTGATCAGAGATGCAGCCAAGAGGCCCATGATCACTCTGGATGAACTGCAGATAACTACAGCTGAGGTGGGGAGGGTGTGTTCAGGGTGATGAGCTGTGTTGCTTTTACGCCAAACATATCGTTTTGCATTGTGGCCAAAAAGTTTGATTTTGGTTTCATCTGACCAGAGCACCTTCTTCCACATGTTTGGTGTGTCTCCCAGGTGGCTTGTGGCAAACTTTAAGAGACTTTTATTGGATATCTTTGAGAAATGGCCACTCTTCCATAAAGGCCAGATTTGTGCAGTGCACGACTGATTGTTGTCCTATGGACAGACTATCCCACCTCAGCTGTAGTTATCTGCAGTTTATCCAGAGCAATCATGGGCCTCTTGGCTGCATCTCTGATCAGTCTTCTCCTTGTTTGAGACGAAAGTTTGGAGGGACGGCCGGGTCTTGGTAGATTTGCAGTGGTCTAATACTCCTTCCATTTCAATATAATTGCTTGCACAGTGCTCCTTGAGATGTTTAAAGCTTATTTTATTTGTTAAAAAAGTGTAAATTATCCAACAAATTTCATTCCACTTCACGATGTGTCCCACTTGTTGTTGATTCATGACAAAAAATTAAAATTTTATATCTTTATGTTTGAAGACTGAAATATGGCGAAATGTTGAAAGGTTCAAGGGGGCCGAATACTTTCGCAAGGCACTGTATAATATAGCTTATATTATTACTGTATTATTATTGAATAGCTTGACCAATATCCCTAGGCTCAACAATAGTTGTCGTTTGTACATTTTCTTTGCGTCATTGAAAGAATTTAGGCTACAAATGAATAAGATACTCTTATATAGTAATTGTTGCCTTACCTATTGAAAAAGACAAATATTGTTTTGAAGTTTTTTTGTCAAGTCACACCACTTTATCAATATATTGTTCATCAAAATGTGTTATTGTGACTGATCTGTGCTTCTTTGTGATTATATACCCATTATTTCCAATACTACATGATAAAGTGAGCAACAAATTACCCTAATCACTGAATTTTGATTTTCCAGCTATATTGGCAAAACCGATTCTATCACCATCAGCATATGGAACCACAAAAAGATCCATAAACGACAAGGGGCTGGTTTCTTGGGCTGCATACGACTTTTATCCAACGCCATCAGCCGGCTAAAAGACACAGGGTGTAAGTCAAGTCAACTCAGAATGGGAAATTCCAGCGAAATACACCATTTAATATCCTCGATGTTTGCTTCGTTTTCAGACCAGAGACTGGATCTATGTAAACTCAACCCCTCAGACAGCGACGCAGTGCGGGGGCAGATTGTAGGTAAGGGAGAGATGCATCACCCTCATCACCCTGAAAGAGAGCTACTGAAACATTTGGAGCATTGTAAATCTTACTGTTATTCTTAATGTGAATGTCCTTCTTTCTCTTAGGTTAGCAGTAATATACTCTATAAATATCCATGAAATTTGGATATAATTAAGGATGTATCCATACTTTTTTTTAAATGTATATGTTATATCTGTTTTCTAGTAAGCTTACAAACACGAGATCGTATCGGCAGCGGTGGCCCAGTGGTCGACTGTAGAGGACTTTTAGAAAATGATGGGTGAGTGATGTTTTCAACTTTAAAATTTAAGGTGGGACTTAGTGCAGAAAATCCCCCACAAACTGAGTGATTTAAGCGTCAAAACTCTCAACTATCATTCGAATGAGGTGGAGTGGAGCAGAGTTGAACTGAAGTCAACAAATATAGTGGAATATTGCAGTGAAGACAGTGGTCAACGAGACTGGCCGTGAGGGATACAAAACTTGCTCCTCCTAGAAGTCACTTCTCAGAGAAGGCTTGCGACAACAACATATGAACAAACAGGGCTTAAAGAGATTGCGTCGTCCTCTGTAACACAAACATCTTTCTTGACCAACCAGAACCACACCATTTTACGATAATTAATCCTTTAGGTGTCACAGAAGCAGAAATCCAACTGAGTCCAGGACTCTTTCTGTACAGCATCCTGCTCTCCTCAAACACTGGTTTGGTTGTTATTAAGTTTTTAGAGGTGCTCACAACCTCTAGCACCAAATGGTTAGTTACAATTTCACATTTTGGTGTTTGAGGGCTGGTAAGAATACTGGGGCAGAAAAGAGAAGTGCAGTATTTGTGCATAGCAGCTTCCCTCAGTGCTGCGATCTGTGATTGGACTGCCGGACCCCTGACTTTTCTACATTTGAACATGTATGAACAAAAGTACCTATGCAACATGAGCTTTTGTACATTCTGTCATGTTTACAACCACAACCATAAAGAATTTATTTTGGATTACCATTAAACTAGAGCACAACAAAATGGAAGTGAAAACAAAATGACACATGGCTTAATTGTTATTTTAAGAATTAATCAAAAAAGTGGGGCCTGCTCAAGTATTTGTACAGAATTTCTTAAATCATCATTAAATCGACTCTGAACATTTGATAATTACTGCTGAATGTTCATATCTAACAATGAATAGAGCCCACCTGTGAGTAATCTATCTATAATTACAGCTGGAAGCCACAGCTTCATTATGTTCATCATTTTAGGCCACTTTGTTCAAATAATGCTTTGAATATGCACTGTAATCGCAAAATTGTAAATAAGAAAATAAAACAATAGTAGTAAATAACCTGCATAGAGGATATTTTTCTGCTGTTTGGCAGGCCTATGTTTGAGGGATGTTTCAGTGAAGAGCCCCTGCCGTATTCTGATCCCACGGGTGCAGCAGGAGGGGGCAACTGTCGCCTGGACTCGCCCAGTCAAGAGAACCGTCTCCAGCCCCAGCGAATTAGAGGCCAGGAGTCCAGAGGTCACGGCCACACGCCTCAGAACAGGCCGCACGGGCTCCAACCCCCTGACCTGCCGGAAGGATATGGTCAGTCAGAAAACTGCATGAATTTAAATATTTAACATGAATACTCCCGGCATTGAACAAATGTTCTTCTTTGACAGAGCAACGAACAACAGTACAAGGACAGGTGTATTTCCTCCACACACAGACTGGGGTCAGCACATGGCACGACCCTCGGATACCAAGGTGAATAAGAACCCTTGTGCACAGTAAATACACTTTTCTTATCTGGATAACTGTAAAAAAAAAAAAATCTGCTTAGAGGACCATACCGAAGGAGGGTCATGGTTTTTCAGTTTGCTGAAAGGCTTTAGTGCTAAAAGCTCTGCAGCTCCGTGGTAAAGTTATTTGTTTGGATGAAATCTAATGAAAACACATACATAACATAGATAATAAGAATGGTCTCAGCTGCTGTAAAGCTCTCAAAACAAAACTACATGCAGAAATTATATTGTGCTGGAAAAAGCCATCACTATTCACTCGTGGTGAGTCGTGAGTCATTCTACAGCGAGCCGTCACCTTAAAATAAAACAATTAAGTTACTTTTACAAACCTCTTCTTCTCATGGTGCATCAACATTTTGTACAATGTATTGAAGTTCTCCTTGGAATAGCTTATTTATGGCTTAAATGGAAATATTCCTTTTTGCTAATCTACTCTAAAGGAGGACAAGGAGACAACCAGTTATCAAGTGAACCCCTCAAAAGTTCCACACTGTTGCTTTCATAAATATCATATTTTCACATAGTGAGTGCTTCTCTATGAGTAATTGGGTGAATGGGCAGCCACTGTCTTCAGGCTTTGTTTCTGATGAATGTTTTTGACTGATAGAATGCATTAAGATTGCTTCTTAGTATGTACAGCTTCAAGGTGATATTTTCTGCTCCAATTACCTGCGCAGGTTTGGCAGGAATGCCATGAGAGAGACTAGGACCATACATTCAGTATATATGATCCATCTTGTCTAAAAGTAGAATGGATTACTGTGTGGACTCTAACTAATGTCTGCTCGTGTGTAGGGATCTGGCCAGTGTGAGCTGTGAGGAGCTTGGTCCGCTGCCAGTTGGCTGGGAGGTCAGAAGCACAGTGTCCGGGCGCATTTATTTTGTGGATCATAACAACCGAACCACGCAGTTCACAGATCCACGTCTTCACAACATCATCAGGTATTCCATTGAGCGAGGCCCACAGAGTACATCTATAGCATTCATTGTGGGCCAACATAACTTACTCTACTCTTTCATATTTGTTTGTTTATTTTGTGTTCACTTCATCTTCATATGTCCCTGGTGTTTATGTGGAATATATTCAAAGTCTCACAGAGTAACACAAAATACTTACCCAAAGTAAAAATTCAGCCTATGCCTGATATAAGATAAGATAAGATAGGACTTTATTGATCTCACACAGGAGAAATGTGCATGTCACATCTTGCATGGATAGAAACACTAAAGATTGTTCAAAAGAAAGAAATGTGCAAACATGTTAAATGCAGGATATTTTATGTACAAAAAAGTGGCTATTTAACCACTTTGCAACAACCGGCGCGCCGGCGGCCGTTTTTATGTTTTTAAATGTTCTGCTGGCAATAGCAGATGTATTTTGAACACCAAACCCCAAAAGCTGTATATCATTTTAAAGCTTATTTTCTTATCTACATTTAAATTTATCATCTAAACTACATCAGACTTTGCATTCAAAAGATATAACACATAATGTGGGCACAAAATAAATCAATTCCGAAATAGTTTTTTACCTTTGGGCTTGTGCTGTACAAATAAATCAGCTCTCCTCCCAGCTTGCAATACATCATTCTCTCTGGAACAGTCCAAAGGAAAATTATATCCACTTGTATTTCCCAAAGTAAAATCCATTCTGCAGAAATAATCCAAAAATGTGCATTTATCTTTAGCAAAAAAAACGAAAAAAAAGAGCACAGATGTTACTCTTTCACTTTTAACGGACTTTTAGCTTCACCCAAACATCTGGTATCTACGTGTTCCTTAGCTCCTTATCTTTCAAATGAGACTACTCCCGAAAAGCTAGACCAATTTTTGGGTCTGCAATAGCTCCCGCAAGTACCGCTCGTGCTGCTGTTTGCGCATGGAGGACTGATCTTTGTTGTGCTCCCAACTTGTTTGCTTTTACTTCCGGGATTTACGATTGACATGTCCTTGTAGCCAATGAGGAAAGCTTTCAAACAAGGGGTGGGACAATGGTGTCCTGTCTTATGTTGTGCCTGGACAATTGTGCGTAATGGAAGCCAAAAGACGCTCTCGAAGCTGCAATGAATTTACACTCATAAAAAAATAACTTTGACATTTAAAAAAGAAAAACACACATAGATTAGTAACTTATAAGTACCAATAATGAAAAATATTGTTTTTATGATGATTAAATGTAAGTAAAGATATTTGGCACAATTTGGCACACTTGTGCCAAATTGTGCCAAATGTGCACTACTTGATGAAAAGGAGAAACTGCATAAAAACTATAAAACTTACAAGTCTGAAACTTTAGACAGTTGTTGTCAACAACACAATGAACAGAGGGTTTGAATATTGTGAACTTACAATGAAGTATGCCTTTTTTAGGGCCTTTAGAAATTGAAAATGTTAGGCGAGGCTAAAAAAAGGATGCAGAGGAAAATAGGAATGACAAACATTATTTTAGTGTTTTTTTACATAAACTAGAAGGCTCTAGCTTTAAAATGATGCATCACACAAGCATGTGAGATGTAAGATGTGTTTTTAAATAAGCAAAGACATTTGGGTATGCCCAACCATTGTGCACGAGCCAAAATGAGGCGGTTGTTAAGAGGTTAAAAAGTGGCAATCAAGAAAAAGTGTCAATAGTAGTGCAGGTTTTTCAGTCCTAGTGCAAGTGACTTAAAGTGACTTATTGTACAGTCTGACAGCGGTGGGTATAAAGGCCCTGCGGTAGCGCTCCTTCTTGCACTGAGGGTGTCTCAGTCTTCCACTGAGAGAGCTCCTCAGCTCCTCTATAGTCCTGTGCAGTGGGTGGGAGGTGTTGTCCATGATGGAGGTGACTTTGACTAGCACCCTCCTGTCCCTCACCTCCTCCACAGAGTCCAAGGAGCAGCCCAGAGTGGAGCTGGCCCTCCTGACCAGCTTGTTCAGTCTACTCCTGTCCCGCTCTGTGCTGCCCGGGGCCCAGCACACAGTAGCGTAGTATATGGCAGAGGTTACCACAGAGTCATAAAAAGAGGCCTGCTCACTCCGCAGGACCTCAGCCTCCTCAGAAGGAAGAGGCGACTTTGGCCCTTCTTGTGTGGCAAATGTTCTATTCCACTGTTTGATGCCGCTATAGCATCCTATTATCTATTGTATATGGTGCATTCATGCTTACTTATAAGTGTAACGCAGTCGACTTACTCATTACTGTGACTGTCCCAGTCAAAGACATTTCTTAGTTGAATGAAAAGAATTCTGATTCTGATTTGGAGCCAGCCTCAGTTCAGAATCATAATAAACGTTGTTGGAAACCACTGTGCAACATCACTTCTATTGTCTGTGTACTCTTTTAACAGTCAGCAATCCCAGCAAGTCAAAGAGCCATCCCAGGTTCCCCAGATGGAGGTGGGGGGTGAGGAGGGTGGTGGCGGGGTGGTTGGTGGGGGAGTTGGGGAAGGTGATGTCGCCGCCCGCTATGAAAGAGACCTGGTCCACAAGTTGAAGCTGCTACGACACGAGCTCTCCCTGCAGCAACCTCAAGCTGGCCACTGTCGCATCGAGGTGTCCAGAGAAGAGATCTTTGAGGTGGGTCAGAGCCTTGTTCAAATTCACAGAAATGATTTAGAGAGAGAGATTTGAAATGCACAACATTCATGGTTATAGGAGTCGTATCGGCAAATCATGAAAATGCGCCCTAAAGACCTCAAGAAAAGACTGATGGTGAAGTTTAGAGGGGAAGAAGGCTTGGACTATGGAGGGGTTGCCAGGTATGTAGCACTGTGCATACTTCATGACGATACAGTGGACTGTTCTGACTCGTTACCCTTTGTAAAACTTTGAGCGAGTTAAAGGGATTTAGCTTATCACTTCAACACAATACAAAGATTCAAACCCAGAGTTCCACGACCTGTGCTTCGCTCTGCTGTGGCAGCTCCAACTAAAATTCTGGTCTGGTGGCTTGCAACCGGGTCAAGCTCACACCGTCCACATCGCTCCAAACAGGAAAGACAAAGAGAAGGATATCATCATCTACAAAGTCAAATCAATCCGTCATGACTTATATTTATCAGATGATTTCTATCAGATGGTTATAATCACTGTGTTAACTCCACCCACATGTCACTCTAACTAGACGAGCACAGAGCCGTGGGAAAACTCTTGCAAACTCATTTTGGGAGTGCAAAGGGCGCTCTCCTCACAGAGGGTCTGTCCGATAGCTCATGGGGTTACAGAACCATCACACATTGTGGATTTTGGTTCTAAATGAGGACTTTTACTTTATTAACTCCTGGGTTTTGTGCATGCCCCAATCACCTCCTGAAGGCTCACATAACAGTGGATCGGAGCGTAGTGCAGGTTGTGGAATTGGCCCAGGTCAGGTTGAATCATGACTAAATCGGTATCTTTTTCCTGGATCCTATGTTTCATTGCTCTTCTCTAATTACTGTTTTTATACATACACACTCTGTTTTGTTTAGGGAATGGTTATATCTTTTATGTCATGAGATGTTGAACCCCTACTACGGCCTGTTCCAGTACTCTACAGACAACATTTACACACTACAGATCAACCCAGACTCCTCCATTAACCCTGTAAGAATATGAGCAAAAGAAAGAGAAACATTGGAATTGCTTTTGTCATGTTATCAAATGTGTTGTTTCCGCAGGACCATCTGTCATATTTTCATTTTGTGGGTCGTGTGATGGGTCTGGCAGTTTTCCATGGCCACTACATCAATGGCAGTTTTACCTTGCCATTTTACAAACAGCTGCTTGGAAAACCCATCCAGCTCAATGATCTAGAAACAACTGACCCAGAACTGCACAAAAGCCTTGTCTGGATATTGTAAGTAATCAAAACATTATCATTGTTTATCTTACAAAGATCTCCCATCTAAACTGTTGTCTCATGTGTTCTGTGTCCAGAGAGAATGACATCACTTCTGTCCTTGACCACACATTTTGTGTAGAACACAATGCCTTTGGGAAGTTTCTGCAACATGAACTGAAGCCCAATGGGCGCAATATTTCAGTCACTGAAGAAAACAAAAAAGAATATGTCAGGTGTCAAAAATTGATAATTAATCTTCCACCCAAGTTCACTGCACCTTTTATTTATTCTGTCTATTATTTAAAACAACGTGTAAATCGAATTGTGGTTAAGAATATATTATTTCCAGGCTTTATGTCAACTGGAGATTTATGCGCGGTATTGAGGCTCAGTTTCTGGCTCTGCAAAAGGGATTTGGTGAACTCATTCCCCAACATCTCCTTAAGCCTTTTGACCATAAAGAGCTAGAGGTAGGAACTATAGTTCTTACAATATCATGTCTATCATAATGTTAACAAGTCTTCTAATTGTTTTCCTTTTTCATACATTGTCTTTCCAGTTGATTATTGGTGGCTTGAGCAAGATTGACCTTACAGACTGGAAGACAAACACTCGGCTGAAGCACTGCACAAGTGAAAGTAATGTGGTGCGGTGGTTCTGGCAGGCAGTAGAGGCCTTCAGTGAAGAGCGGAGAGGGCGCTTACTCCAGTTTGTGACCGGGTCAACTCGCGTTCCTTTACAGGGGTTCAAGGCCTTGCAGGGTGGGTCAGCCACTGACATAAAGCCATACACACTTGCATAACATTACCATTTAACTTAGAACACATGTTATTATTAAAATGTACATTGAATCAGTCACTTTCTGCTTAAATTTGACTCTGTCTGACTAATCAGAGCAGTGATAACTAGAATGTATGTTTGTAAGGTTCTACAGGTTCTGCAGGACCAAGGCTTTTTACCATCCATTTGATAGATGCCAATACGGAAAACCTGCCAAAGGCTCACACGTGGTATGATTATTTCAAAGTACTGAACGTGATTTTATACATTTAAGAAGTATGATTTATTGATTATTTCTGTCTTTGCTTAGTTTTAACAGAATAGACATCCCTCCCTATGAGACGTATGAGAAACTCTATGAGAAACTCCTTACGGCTGTGGAGGAAACTTGCGGCTTTGCTGTGGAGTGAAAATCCACAACCAACAGACTGTCATACTTGCACTTGCACACAAAGATTTGACGTTTGACCTTTTAACACAATAACGGGTATACAGATGTATACCAAGCAGCCAAGCATTACAAGAACACTCAGTGTCTTGCCACCTCTTGACCACCGAACTGTTGGGGCTAATGAGGAAGCACAGCAAAAGCAGAAAATATAAGGACAAATATTTTAAAGATTTTTCCTGTTTTGGAGAAGCATTTTTATCATTCTGTTTTAACAAACTATGATGTCATGTCTTCAGAATGTCAAGCACCACAACAAAAGTGACTGCAGTCACACTTGATGCACTGAATCACATCAGCAAACTCACAAACAAGCCTGCAAACTCAAACCAGGAAGAACAATGCAGACAGTCTTATGTCTGACAAGCTGATGACCGACTTGTGTTCATGCTCCATGTTTAACCACTGGTGTGTCCCGGATGTCTGTACGTGTGCATGAAGTTCTCTGTCTGAGACCATTTTGCGTGTTTGGCATGGCACCCCTTTACTCTGTAAAAAATGATCAAACGCCTGCTTCTTTTTTTAGTTGGCTCTTGAATCCTCAGTTTGTATCTGCCACCAACCTCCACTTTATTTTATTATTTATTACTAAGTGATTACTGACCAAGCTGCTATATGCTCAAGCCTGAGCTCACACTAATCTCATCAACCCATATTCCCGAGACATGGGGTCTTATTTACTCACGTAATCCACATAGTGGGTTTTATTAAATATTGTTACTTTTTAACATATTAAAAGCAGAGAAATTCTCTAGTATATGGAAACCGTACGTTGGTTCGTGTTTGAATACAATGTTACAATTATTGAAGTGTCTGGGAAATCACCCTCATTTTATAACATATGTTTTATGACATATTGGTTTTATGGATGAGTCAACAGTCACAATATGGGATACTTGTTTTTTTCTCTTTTTAAGAAAAAAATCAAAATAAAAGAAACAAAATATCGTTTTTGGTTGTATGTTATATGTACAATACAATATCATACTTTTAAATATTCTTTTGCCCAGTCAAACCTTAACTTCCTGCCTGTTTTTCCCTTCTTGCTTGAATGTTGAAGAAGATCCCTTTATCACAGGCATTATCCTATGAACTATGAATGAACAAAGTTGCATCAGTTTTTGATTTTCCTTAAAATGAAACTTAATTCCTCCTGTAGATTGAAGATCAAAGACTGTTAAAGCAGTATTTCAATCTGCATTTTCTAGGTTTTCAGTTCACTGTGTAATGGATGCAAGTGCATTGTAACTCACTATGTGCTAAACATTTATGAAAATACTATGTAAATAAGATTATATTAAAAAAATTAATTAAATAGACGTGTTATTGTTTTTTGTGTGTGTGCGAACTTTCCCTTTCCTCAATGCATTATCGTCATTCGTGTATGCATACTACAACATACTCCATGACTACAAACCCCATAAATGTTTGCGCTGCGCCGCCATAGTGCGTATGACGTCACTAGAGCTCTTGTTTTGGCAGTTTGTTTCGATGTCCTCTGCATGTCTCTCCGGGTTTTACCAGATCTGCGGAACTAAGTCGTGGTAATGTAGCTGTGTGCATGGACACGGGCTATTATGAACCCTAACATGTCTCTCTGTTAGGCTTTAACTGTGCGATAGGCTCAGTCTTTCCTCAAGGAAGCTAACTGCTCCTCCAACAGGCGCTAGCATTTGAAGCTAATAATGTGTAGCTCATAAAGTGTGTGTTTCCCCGTAATGCGAACTGCGTAGACATTCCTCTGCTCGTTTTCCTGAAATCCACGACTAAGTTTGATCTGGTGTCAGTACTGTTGGACTCTACAGAGACGTATTCGCCAATCGCGGTGTTTTCCTACATTTGTGGGTCTGTTCGAGCTAACTGTCAAGTTTGATCGATTGTTTTTTTCTGGAGCGAAGAAAAACATTGCAACTTTTATTCAAACCACAATGTAATTTCTCGTGACCGTTCTTATTCTTCTCTCACATTGAAAAGTAGCCTCTTTAGAATGTTGCATGGCGTGAAGCTTATTTCTTTTCCAAACACGAAGTAAAAAGTTTGTCACTATTCACCCCACGTTTAGAAAATCTTATACCCATTGAGCTATTTTCATATGTGTAACGAACTGTTGATGTAGCTAATAGTGTATTGTTTGTATGGAGAAGATGGTGGCGTGGAGCGTGTGACTGCTGCTGTAAAAACACCATGGCAGATGGAGGAAGTGATGATGAAGTTATTCATCTCAGAAGTTTCAACATTCACCGCAGTCAAGGTGGGGCTCTTGAAATACTTTCTCTTTCAATGTTACCTCTTTATCTACCTTGTTTTTAACCTCTCCTTTTTTCACTTTAGTGTTTGTGACTTCCTAACATTCTAAATTTACTGTAGGTTCCCGGCGGCGGCGGCAGAGTCAAAGGGAGCTGATCACTATTTCTGATGATTCCGATGACGAGTTTCTGCGACCTTCTAGTCCTGTTTATGTTCCTGATGACGATGATGTCAGCATACTAGGGGTAATTGCTGTTTATAATTATATTATACCAACAATATTTTGGCTTCCAAGGGATTGTTTTTTTTTTCTCTTGCCCAACTTATTCAATTATAGATGAGGCTAGGTATCTTTCAGAGCCTGGCGATGCGTGTCTTGATATGCATGACATGACATGGTATATACCGTAATTCTTGGTTTGAGAGCTCCCGATTATTTGCTGCACCAGCTAAATTTAATTACATAATACAATGTTGTTGAATGCTAACCACAGGTTTTCAAGTTGTAATGTACACATACCCAAATTGCAAGAGAAGCTCTGAGGATGCTAAGATTTGTATTGGCTGGACTCGCTAAAATCTTCAAATTTGCAGAAGGCAAGCCTAAAAGCCAGTTTACAATGCTCGATAAAGTACTTACCCCAGCTTTAAATAGGCCCCTGCAAAACCAGAGAGGGTGGAGGCGCAAAGACACCCACTGTCCACTGCTTCTGTGGCTTTAAGGGCAACGGAAAAAAGAAAAGAAAAGTATTTAATTTGGTGAGGATTGATTCTCCATCCATCCATCTTCTTCCCCTTAATCCATTTCTTGTTTGGGGGGGTGGCAGTCAGAGCTGCACCCAATTCACAGAGCACCAGCCCCTCACTGATCCTCCTGCAGGTGGTGAGTCCATAGATTGATTCATATTACAATATAATTGTGGGAAACGGTCAAAAATAAAAAAAAACTATGCTAAACCAGGATCAAACCAGGACTGACACTGTAGGAAATGTGGCCATATGCTTTTACCCCGAGGTCAACTTCTACCGTGTCTGGATTAGTGCTATAGTATGATCACACCAGATAAACTGAATTCTTCTGTTTAATTTTTATGGATACATATTATACATGATTGAAACATCCACACATGCATACATTCATGAATACATTTAAGGGTTTCCTTTTTTCATTTCTGTCAAAGCTCAAAAAAGGATGAGTGGGAAAGTGGGAAGAAGTAAAATTTATAAGCTCCCACCCCCTTGAGCACAGAGCACAATACAAATGTAATTTATTTCTTCCTTAGCTAAAAATACAATTAGCATGATGCCCACTTCTGCGCTCCTTTTAATAATGTATACCACACATTTACAGCAGCGAGTAGCTGCTGTTGGGGATTTTCTTGCATAAACGGCTGAATAAAAACACAAAAAAGGCAGGGATGAAAAGCAGAGCATGTGTTTGTGTGTAGTGAGGGCCGTGCAGCAGGAGCCTTCACATCAGTGATTTATTTAGGATTTTTTTACACATAATTTTTCTCATGACTGGTTGATTATGATTGGTGCACTTACATAATAGGTCTGAAGATGTTCTCCAGAAGCGTCACTTGAGCTTTGTCTAAACAACTAATTGATGAATCAAAATAAATAATCATTATTATTTACTGCCTTAGAAAGTTGACCAAATGTGTAAGGTGACCTAAAGTGCATAGAAAGGCACCATATTCATTAAATGTATAATTATTTGAGACGTAATTATACAATTTCAGTTTGTACAATAATGGAAAAATCATTGTAACCCATTTAATAGGATTCTTATTTTTCCGTTTTACAGTGTAAAACTCCGGCTCGCAAACAAGTGATTCGCCCAGCAGCAAAATGGACTGGTTCTTCATTTAACCAAAATCAAGGATTAATGGAGCATAAAGGGCTGAATGAAGCTCAAAATGACCCTTCCTCATCTACTGCCTCTACCTCTAGAGATACTATAACCACTTCTTCTATGCCGAGACCGGCCATCCCACCAACAGAAGCAGCCCCGCAGTCTGGTAACTCGGGGGTTGGACAGCCTGCCCCTGCCCTTAGCCCTGGCCCTGGCCCCTCAACCACTCGTCCTACCCTTCACATAGACTCACTGCGACATGCACAGTCTGCTAAACAAACCTCAACAATGGTGCAGGCTAATGCCACCTCATTAGGACCAATTGATGTCCGGCCATGCACATCTGGGCTCTCTCGGTCTGGAACCACGCCTCAAGCTAGTACCTCCAGTGCCTCATGCCAGTCCTCTACACTGGCAGGCCCAGTGACACAGTTAAAGACTGGAACAGGAGTTGTAAGCCAAGGCAATCCTCAGGCCAGCACTGCATCTGCGCCACTACAGCCCAGCACCTCCAGGGAGGTACCTTCCAATCTGACACAGACCAAGACTGTAGGGATACTCGTGTTTCCCCAGCAGCCGAGGAGTCCAGTCTCTACTCTCATCACACTGCCTCACATACAGGTTGGGACACAAGCATTTATAACTAGGGGGAATCTTATTCAGATTGAGCCTCAAGCTTTAGCCAAAGCCCCTGCCCTAGCCCCTGCCCTAGCCCCTGCCCTAGCCCCTGCCCAAGCACCAGTACATGCCCATGCCCAAGCCCCTGCCCCTGCCCAAGCCCCTGCCCAGGTACCAGCACAAGTACCAGCCCCTGCTACCACACCGGTTATACAAGTCGCACCCCCTCCAGTGCTTATAGCTGCTGCTCCTGAAAGACTTGGGCCCCCACAAGCTGGCCACAGAATTGTCCTTGGGAGCCTGGTATCCCATCCTCAGCCAGGTCCCGCGAACCCCTTACCAAATCAACAGAGACAAAACTTTCCAGCCCACAACTCTGCACAAGCTCCTGTTGTCCAGCACCCAGGCCCATATCCAAACAGACCTGCCCAAGTCCAAGACCCAGGGGCGGTCCCTGCGGTGGTGGAAGATATTCCTCGAATAGAGGACGCACGGCCGGGTCCCTCTGCTCCAAGAGACAGACTGGTGCAACAGCCTGACGTTAAAGAGATGGTCGCAAAAGTGGTGAGTAATTATTTTGCCACAATATCTTGGGTTTGAGTTTCATAATGTGACATCTACCCACCTGTATATGTCTGTTTGTACTGTGAAATTGTACAGGTTTAAAATGAACAATTTAAATAAACTAACTGATCTCTTTGTGCTTTCAGTTGGATCTATTTCCTGATGTCCAGGAAGCCTTTGTAGCAGAACTGATAGTAAAGAATAATGTGAAAGACTTGAATGTGTAAGTATAGAGAATATATGAGGCCACCTTTTTTGAGATGACAGGCTTGAAGTTTTGTAAATTTCATAATAAAACATTAGCTGTAGATCGAACAATACTGTTCAGTCCATCTTAAAATGTATGCTTTAATTTGTGAATAAAGCAAATTATCCTTATAGCATTTGTAACCAGCTGTTGGAGAACCCTCAGTATCCGCAAAGAGAGATTGCAGCAGCATCCAGTATCCTCCTGGAACCTGGAGACGCCCAGCCTGAGGTAACTGCGCCTCTATATGGCTACATATAGCAGTAAAAACTCCAAGCTGTTTTGTGTCCCGTTCCTTACTTCAAAGCCAGGTGAAGGTTATAAATCTACATACAAGTCACACGAGGGACAATACATTGCATAAATACAGTGCAACAAACCGCGTAACAATACCGGTTTACCATAAAAGTTTGGGTTGTTGCACACCCTGCTCTTCCTTTAGAAATTTGTTCTTGTAAAAAGTATGTTTCAAAATATGAAATGTATTGCTCCATGTGGATGATGAACTTTCCATAGTCCATTCTATTGCAAGTCCCTGGGGTCCTGGGTGCACTGCGCTGTGACTTCATGAGACTTATTTTGACGGTTTATTTTGACTTAATACAGTTCAAACAATACAGGTTCAAACAACACGCCTAGCTTTTCCACTGTGGTTTAACAGAATGCTGATGTCATCCATATAGTTTGCCTTATGCAGAAGAACCTGATTAGATCAATCTCTTTGTTGTGTGGGCTCATAACTTGATTCACAAAGATTATGTCAAAATAGAGTATCCCAAAATGGTGAGTTTGACAAACGTGTCTCTCAAGAACTTTAGGTTCAAAGGAAATTGTAGTTTGAAATCATCCCCTGAAAAAATGCCGGGAAATACTCGCAGTCTATCCTTAAAAGTATCATTAAATTCTATTCAGTGTAAATAATTAGATCAGAAGTTCTTAAGAATGCCAAGTTTGAGCACTGTACTTCAAATGCACAAAATAATGAGTGATATTAAATATACATTTGGTATTGATAAAAAAATCACATTTGTCCCAGAGATATTAACACTAATCTTCCGTAAAGGAGACTGAGGACCTGTTCGACTACTCTAAGCTGGCCATTGTAGGACATGGAGCTGTAATGCAAGCTGCTGATTTGCTTATGGCGGATTTCCGGATGCTCAGCTGTCAAGACATAAAGTGGGCCCTCAACGCCTTGAAGGGACACTATGCAATCACACGCAAGGTACTGGCCTCATCCTGCCACAAGGTTTACATTTTCATGGGTCTGCGTTCAATTCTTTTCAATTCAATGTGTTCTTGTATAGCCCTATTTCACAACAGTAGTTATCTCAGGGAATTTACACAACCCTTGAATTTGTCAATACAGATTAAAGAATCAAAAAATAGAAAACACATCAGGGGCAGATGGCCAATGTCCATAAGTGTTGATAAATGTTCATAAATGTTAGTGAATCAACACAGACGTGCAGATGTGACCCATGTGAGAAAGGTGCACACTGAAGCAAAGTGATGATTCTTGTTCACAACTGTACTCTGTGTAATTATGGAAGCACAGAGCCAGCTTTGATATCTTTATTTCACAGTGCAACTGTGGGGGAGGTAGCCAAAACCTACAATGTTACACTAGTACACAAGTTAGTTAATAAAGCAGGAATGTAGAAGAATACAGTTGAAGTAATAAGCTAAAACTGTTTTTATCACTATGTAGTGGCGTGTCAAACCTTTTCATGTTTCCTTTTATCTTAATCCAGCTAAACTTTTGTTTTCCAATGTATAATTACTTTCAAAGAAATATAATTTGTATAATGATTTACTCCCTTGTAATTTGATAAATAAATATTGCATTATGTAGCATTACAGACATCCTAAAAAGGCATTATTATTTAAATTGACCAACATGCAGCTGCTGTTTCATAAAATGTTTAAAGCCCATCCTTAAGGAGTATTTTTGCTCAATTTAGATGTGAACCAAAAGGTTTGAAGTTCTCTTGAGACACCACTTTGTATTTTATTTTAAATATTCACTGGCTCCGCCTCGAGTGTGTTACAGATAGGGCACACAATCATTAGACATCATCTAAAGAAGACTCATATCCACAGGGAGCTGCAGAAATTTAAACAGTTCTTACATTTTGTGCAAATTATGACTTTTTACAAAGTCAGCTTATACAAAATTGGATTTGTTTTGTTGATCTGATTTAATATTCTTCACAATTTTGTTTTGGCGTCCCAAAATCAATAAGGACCATGCGAAATTTGTATTTTGTTGCCTTAGCGATGGCAGACTCTCCCCAGAAGTTTTAATGGGAAAATCAAAAAACGAATTTGTACTCCTTGTGGAGATTTCCATGCACACAGCTCAGACTCTCTTCACATTATCTTCAGAATTGGGAAAGTAAAAGCAACATCTTTTAAAATTTAACATAAAACATTTTAGATCATATTTATTACTATTAGTTTTTTCTCCAAATAGAAACATGATGCACTTTGGGAGATGCAGGGCACCAGAATGCGGGGCTGTGCAAAGGCTGTTTTTACGTGTTTTGTGTTTGGTTTATTGTGTGCAATTATACATGCAGATACTTGGCAATATAGCTTGCTATTGCATGTTTGAATTTATAATACACTATTTAAAGGAACAATATGTAAAATTCTGGCCAAAAGTGGTACTGCAGTCACAGTCAATATTTTGTAGTCCTCTCTCACTCTCCTTGACTCAGGTTGCCAGATACACACCAAATCAAACACAGGGAACACAGGGAATTATTGTATCAGTTGTTTGTCTGTCTCCATTCACATTGCCATGCGGCATGCTAATGTTGAATGAATGTTACATTTTTATTTTTTATTTTTTTTTATTTGGACATTTGAGATAAAAAACACAAAACAAAATAAAATCAATGTAATTATAGATTATCCAAAATAAATAAGCAATTGATGTCCAAAATAGGAGTGGGAAGAATGGATGTTGGAACATATTTCTTCAGCGTATCAACATCAGGGTTTGCTCCAGAGGATATCACCTTTCAATTTTATTTATTCCCTATTTTTTAGACAAACATGTAAAAGTCCCACATCAAAAAGAGACTAACATTATTTTAATTGGGGTACATGTGGTCTCAAATGATTCTTTTTACAATTAAGCTATAATCTGCAAAAAAAACGTCTTGACCTTCGTCTTTTACCGTTTTTAGAGCAATCTGTCAGAATGTGATAACATGCAATTAAATACAAAAAGACTCTGCCCGGAATCGAACCTGGGTTACTGCATCATGAGCGCGTAGTTTAAACCACCATACCACAGATTTGCACGGTAAGAAGGAGTTTGAAGAACGGACTCAAATCAGCAAGTTTTGCATCACACGTAAACTTTTATCAGCTGTCTCAATTGTTCAAAGGCGTCCCGATATAAATCCTCGTTTTAGTCTTTGTTTTGTCATTAAATATTTGAGAGTCATAACAAGACCTTTTTTAGTTCTGTGCCACATGTTATTTTACCTCTGAGATTAATGAGCCGCGCGGAGTTCTGGCAACCCGATCACGGACTTACATGACACTTCCTGATTGGCGAAACGGCGGAGGGTAGGACATCAAAATCAAAACAATAACAACTTTTACGGGTCGTAAAACTAATTTTGATAATCAAATATCTCTGCTGAACTACTGTTATCAGTTAAAGATGTATTCGAAAAGAGCATGATTTAATAACACCTTTTGAAACATTGGGGTCATTTAATGATGACTTGACATGCAAATATTACATACTGCTACTTTAAATATATGAGTTTTCCACAGGCCTTATGGGAATCTCTGAAGAAGTGGCAGAACTCAGGTGATCCATCAGGGAAAAGGCGACGGAGCAGAACCTCCTCAGAGCGCCACTTCATTGATTTTCATTTTGAACATGGTAAGCATTCACTAAAAATAGAAATCTTGGTATTTGTCCCCTTAGAATATACTTATCTGTTATTCATCTTCACCTGCAGGTTCTGTCAAACTTGAGAAGAGAATGTACTACTTGGAACAAGACCGGCGGTTTTGCAGAACATACATTAATCTTGAGCCGTCTGTGCAAAAGGAGCTTTCCTTTTATCAACAGAAAGCCAAGGAATGGGCAGAGGTGAATACTTACCGATTTATGAAGCTGCGGCTGTAACATTAAAAATATAATTAGTCAATAAAACTCAATCTGCTAATTGACCACACATAGCCTCTAATTCTTTGAATGCAACTTTTTTGGAACATGTTTGATCCTCAGGCAGACCTTTTACATGGCATCAGTCTTCACTACTTGCTACAATTGTAGCATAGGTAGAGTGACTGAAGTAAGGCTGCCAATCCTCACCATCACCTCCCACGCACGCATTGCCAAAAACCTGGTATTCCCAGTGGTCTCCCATCACAGTACTAACCCACCCTGCACTTCTTGGTTTCTGAGGTCTGACGAGATCAGGCGTTTGTGCTACTTAATAACAATAGCGTTCGTCATCTGATACTAAAATACTAAGCTACTGTGTTATGTTCTTGAGTATGATGTCATTAAAAATGCATTTCCTTTTTGTTTGGTCTTCAGCACGAGGACTTCCTGTTGGCTCTACAGGTCAATGAGGATGAGTATAAAAAAGTATGGCTCTTCGCTCTTACTTGAGCCATTTATTTTCTTCTAACACATTATATTACTAACATAATAATTTTTCCAGGATGGTCAGCTAATTGAGTGTGGCTGCTGCTATGGGGACTTTGCATTTGAGAAGATGACCCAGTGTTCTGATGGTCATCTATTCTGTCATGAGTGTCTGGTCAACTATGCTCAGGAGGCTGTGTTTGGATCTGGAAAGGTAACCACCAAAACTGACTGCTATTGGTTTTACCACCACTATTTAAAAAATATATATACAGTATATAATATTGTAGCCATATATCCAGTTTTGAGAACTTCTTGGCCGTCTTGTACTGTGTGTTGCAAGTCTGAAATGTTCTCTCATGTTTTCTTTGAGCATAGCAAAGCAGCTGTTTCCCCTGCATTTGTGCCAAAATGACAGCAATATATTTCTGATGAACAAACAGGATCCAGTGTCACGCTTAAATCTACAAACAAACTAGGAACAGTTTCCATGTTCTGGTGGTGTTTGTGGGTCTTGAAAGTAGAATTTATGTTGCTCTAAAATGTTAAAACGGCATTGAGCAGATGCATTCAACTGTAATATAATTGTGACATGGTTATGACACAAATGTGGATGTTCAAAGAGATGTAAATTACAAAACAGCATATATCATTAAGCTTTTTGGTAATCCACAGCCCAATTATGTCCAGATTGTTTTGATGGACCCATTTGGGAGAAGGTTGAGAGACTTCAAAGACAATATTAGATTTTTTTCTCAATCACAAATATACAAGTAAATTAGTAGGAGTCATTGAATTATCTGAGTCTAACTTTGTTGGTTGTGTGTGTTTTCAGTCACAGTTGAGCTGCATGAGTGCGAACTGCCCCTGCTCATTTCCGGTGTGTGAGTTGAACAAAGTGTTGCCTGAGAATATACTGTGTAAATACTACGAGCGGCAGGCGGAAGAGGCCGTCGCTGCCACCTGCGCCGATGAACTGGTCAGGTATGTGAGGCCTCCTGCAGACATAAGGGCAGTCTTTGGGACTCTTCATCTACATCTAAATTCACGGTTTTTTCTTTGACTTTTGCAGATGTCCGTTTTGTAGCTTTCCAGCCTTGTTGGATAAAGGCATCTCCAGGTTCAGCTGTCCCAACCCCCGCTGTCGCAAGGTTTGGCAACTTGGCTTCATATCTACTTTTCTTCCCATACACAAAGCTGTAAAGAATGTACCCAATCGCCTTCTGTCTCTGGTCCAACCTTGTTACAACCTTCCACTGTTTAGGGAATTGAATTATTAATCATGTGGCCTAAAATAATAAGATTGAATTATTTGAGGATAAAACCTGAATGGCTCCATGAAAGTGGGATGATAAGGTTCTGTGTGGTGACTCCAGCCCTGTTGTCTTATCTCCAGCTCTCCTCCCTCTGTCTGAGGAATGCTCGGGAGTGTTTGAACATGGTTACTTCAATCAACCATTTTTGTAGCATTTTCCCTTGCTCTTGTTTTTGTGCAAACTTTTCAAAATTGGACTTTTCTAATTCAGAGACGCTGTAACTCTTAAATAAATTTGATTCATTATTAACACTCAATGTCAGGTACAACTAATGTAAAAATGTGAGAGAAATCCAGTTTCTCAGTTTTTAAAAACAAACAAAAAATTTTATCAATAATTGAAAATATTATTTGAATTCTACTAGATGGTGCAATATTCTGTTGTCAATGTCTCTCCACAATATACTGTAGTTTTTTTTTCTTTTAGTTTAGATTTTGTAGTTTTTGGATGTCTTCTTGGGCTATAGACTTACTTTTACATTCAGATCTCTACTTAGACATTCTTAATACATTAAATATGTATATCTTAGTATCATTTGCATGTATACGTATGTATAGTATTATAATATTGTGACCACAAAATGTTTGGACCATGTCACCGCAGCAGCCAGTAGATGGCGCCAAAGGCTCATCATAGCCCCTTCAGTCTCTGTTGGCACATCTGTCTTACATTATGAACATCCACACATTCAATTATTTCATACACATCACCCTGATGTTAAAATACCATGATATCAAACCCATAAGGATTTACAGAGCACTTTATTTCACTATTTGTTGTCTGAAAAGTTGACCACTCACTCTTCCAAGAGCATTTTATGATTATATATCGACGATCATACAAGATATATGAATAATGAATATACAATGATATTGCTCAGTGCATGCATCTTTATAGATCTATTCTTTAAAAAGGAATGAGCAGAGCAATTCAGATCATTACCAACTTTTTCCACTGAATGGGACAGATGCAGAAGACATAAAGTACTTTTTGTTAGTCCTTAAAGTGTATACCGTTCCTGTAAAGTGTACAGTAGTCCAATACTGCCAGTACTTGCATTATTTTAGTGAAAATGACTGACAATAAGTTTTGTTAACGGCCTCTTGTTTCCACCATCCCTCCTCCAGCTGCACACTGTTGCTGCACAGTGCTATGAGGGCGGGGCTTCATTATGTAACTGACACACTTCTAGAACCCTGCCCCCTCTGTCTTTCGCGGGTTCCCGACTGGCCTTCTGTCGCTCTACTCCCCTTGAACTGGTTTCCTACTGGTTCGCCCCTTGTCCTGTTCAGTTTCAAATGGGTCTAGCTGATGCCTGACCCACTTTTCCTCGCCTCTCTCCCCTGGCTCTGTCTGACCTACACATCGCTCTAATGTATTCCACATGTGGCGAAGGGAGGAACAGACCTGGTTGTGATTACTCCATCCACTGTACATGGATGTAGGTCAGTCAAACTGGACCACTGCAGCGTTTTTAACATTACCCAGTCTTTAATATCATCTTGGAGGTCACTGCCGTACCTTCAAAGCCACCTCCCAAAATCCACTGCCCCCAATCAGTGCAATGCAAGCTTTCTGCACTACCATATAAGGAACTGCTGCAGAAACGAGAGCATTAACAGTGGGGAAGATGCTGCATGGAGGTGTGGTGCGGCTTGAATGAGAGAAGTGCGAGTCCGACGACTGGAGCACAACCTTTTGTCTATATAAAGCCATGTGACAGTTCAGCACTGACGGTCAACGGTGCAAACAGGAGACGCCCACAACTGTCAAGGTGGAGTGTGATGCCGTATTTTTAGCCACACTATAAGAGCTCAGGTACATTCTCATTTGTGGAAATCTGGCAGGTTGCACACACAGCCTTCAAGCAGCTGCTTCTTCCTCCATGTGTCTCCACTAGGAGGCCATCTTTCACCACACTGCAGACGCCCTTTTATATGTGCCTGCAGGCCGTTTAATTATCTGCTCTTCACTGACATTTCAGATTCAGGTGTTCACTTGGAACTCTCCTTGAAAGTCTAAATTGATAATGCCTTTTTCTTGAATTTTGTAAAATCATTTGTGATGTTGCATCCATCTTCTTTCAACTTATCTGGGGTGTTGAAGACAACTGAGCACCATTGTTTTCTTTTTTACTTTAAATGAACATTCTCTTCTCACCATGTTTAATACCATTTATTTCAGAATTTTGTGCTTGACTTTGCCTTTTGGATCTTTATGGCAAATTGCATACCAGTGGTTTTTGTCAGGTCAGACTATTCAATGTTTCCTTCGTGACTGAAATATTACTGCCATCCCACTTGGCTGCAGTATCAGGAGCTAAGATTTGTACCTGCATCCGTCTCATCTGCTGGGTTTTTCTAGAGCCACGTCTCGGTGACATGACAGAAGAAGGATGTAGTAGGGCTGTTTCTAAGCAACCGGGCAGTCGGCAGTGAACACACACACACACACACACACACGGTCCTCAAGAGCCACACCTCTGTCTGCAGTGGCAGCGGCAGCAGCATATAGAGCAGATACAAAGGGATGGGGTGGGAAATGGATCTTTTTGTTGCTCATTTGTGAAATAAAACTAATCCAAACGTTCTGCGTCTTTGTGTGTAGGAGAGCTGTCGAAAATGCAACGTGCAGTGGAAGGAGCACATAGGGAAGACGTGTGAGCAGGTGCTGGAGCAGGACGAGATCCGCATGAGGGTGCTTTTGTAAGTCGCTCATGATGTCGGCTTCAGGTTTTTTTTATATAGTTTAGCCAAAACCGTATAAAAGAGGGAAAAAAGGTGATCTGTACTTGGGAGTTTCCCACATCGTCCACCAGCCACTGGCATAGCATTCATAGAGGGGTGGGTGAACAGCCTTGCCCAAAGATGCGATTTGGGTTGGAGGGAGAATGCACCATCTACTTCTAAACCCTATAACAATTCCATTATCCAGATTGTATTTGCTGGTGGGTTTAACGGAAGTCTGCCTAATGGTCGGACTAAAGCTGAGACTCTCCTGGGAGTGTGGTGGGGTAGATGGCATTACTCCTGAGATGCCAGGGGGAGATCTGTTTTCGTTTCTTGGCAAGAGAATGTTCCACTCTAGGAACAAAAGTTTTTGCTAAAGTAAGGATTGAAAGGTCAATACACCTTTTTCCATCTCCATGTGAAAAAGTCAAGTTTTCCCCCAGAAACAAAAAGCAAAAGATGGCTTCTTTTAGTCATTGAGAATTTAGTTATAATTCTCCCACACTCTTATTGGGAGTTAACTGCATATTAGAGATGGCTATGTCTGTGTAGAGAGTTCAAATCCCTGACCGTGTACCAGGAAGTGGAGAGACTGCTGTTTCCTGTAGCTCGGCAGGCGCGGACACATCACTTCCTCTTGTTGTGTGCCAGTCATTGCTCTTGTGACGAAGGAAAGAAGCCTGGTAAAGCGATCAGTGCAGAGAAACTGTGTAGCAAACGTACAGACCATGGAAAGGAGTGGACGTTTTAAATTATTTAATCTATGTTGAGTTCAAGTTAAAGCTCTGACATAGTCTGGGTTAAAATCGGCCTATAAAATTGATCTTTTTACATAGAAGATTTCGGCTTGATTATTGATAGTCTTCTCCTATTTTCACATGTGCATATGTCTTTTTTGTTTGTCACAGTGAGGAGAGAATGACTGCGGCACGAGTAAGAAAGTGCACAAAGTGTGGGACAGGCCTTGTGAAGTCCGAGGGGTGTAACCGAATGTCGTGTCGCTGTGGGGGCTTCATGTGTTACCTCTGCCGAGACGCCATCAGTGGCTACAACCACTTTTGTCAGCACGCCCGCTCCCCCGGTGCACCCTGCCGCCACTGCCGCAAGTGCTCCTTGTGGACGGACCCCACGGTATGGTCCTCTTTTAATCTGCCCTTTCTAAATGAATTTGTAATTAAACAATGGCCAAGATTGTCTCACTGTTGGTATAAACATTTCTTAAGTCTAATCAGAAAACGAATCAGCCTCATGAATCTGCATATAATTTATTTTAAACCAGTGAGAGCACACTTAACTAACGGTTCGTACAGCCCGTCCCTCCTTGACTGTCTGACTCCCTAGTAACACAGTGGCTTGGCTACAGTGTCACTAGAGTTTAGTTCGGGCCTGAAAAATGAAGCCCGACCCGGCCCGAGCCCGCTAATGTTAAGCCCGAGCCCGTATAACAGGGATTAAAGAGTTCCGTCTAGGTGACGGATTTCCGTCAAATGAAATTGGTCTGGAAAAAAAAAAAATATATATATATATATATAATGATAATAATACACACAATGAAATGATTGATTATAAAAATAATATATAGTAATACATATACGTGTGAATCTGTTATATATATATATATATATATCGATGTATAATAATAATTTGAATATAATTGTATTTATATGTATATAGAAATAATAAGTAATATAATGACGAGTGGGCCTTGAACGTGCCGTGGCCACATGAGCGCTCCACAAATGAATCAAGGCAATGGGACGTAGCTGAGCTCACGCGCAAATGAAGACGCGATGAAGTTAGCATTGGTAACACGGAGGTGAAAGTTTCTGGAAACTGCACGGAGCTTTTGAAAAGGAGAAGAGGAGGAAAATTGAATCTCGAACGGAGCGATAACAGCAGCAGATCCGCGGACCGGTAAGCTGGGCGCGTAATAGACGAAAGGTAATTAACGTTTACCAAACGCAATGCTATTTTACTTAACGGAATGTACAAAACGGACTTTGCTGCAACTGGGAATGGGTCACAAACATGTCTTGGTGAGCTTTTGATATTGTCTTGTTTGCGATCTTCTTGCAAAACTCAGCGTGATGTAAAAGAGCCAATCAATGAGTCATGGTGCGAAAAGATGAAAGTGGCCGGTGCTTGTGCGTACTTTGCCATAAAAAATTGCATGTATGGGAGCAGGGCTGGACTGGCCATCGGGCGTACCGGGCAATGCCAGAAGGGCCGATGCCCATATTTGGGCCGGTCTGTTTGCCTCATACAAAAAAGATGTTTGTGAAAAGTGTAAATCCGTTGAGAACTGTTCGAGGGGGCGCGCGTGTCCGCGGGGCACCTGCTGTATGTACTGGAACGGGATTCTACCACCTCAGCGGCCGCAGTGTTCCGGCATCCAGCGGCTCTGAGCTGGACGCGGGAACCGCTCACCGGGAGCCGCTCACAACACAACACGGTGAGCGCGTAGCCGCAACGTGACCATGTACCCAAGACCATAAACGTGCACAGGACCATGCGTGTCTTTGCGTAATTTGTGCACCCAATAAATACACCGCTGCAGGAAACAGTCCGCGTCTCCCCTCTCCTCTCGAAGTGCGACTAAATTAAAGCTCGGGTGCCTAAATTTTCCATTGCATTAAAAGTTCATGTTTGAGCCCAAAAGTAAAATGTTGTGAAAAAATTAAACAGATTTAGAGCCAGCCAATGGCTGACATTATGCATTTCAGACTTTTTTGACCAATTCTCATCCCTGTAACAAACAACAGTGTTGTCTGCAGCCACCTCCCTCACTCTGAGACATGTTTATTACTCTCTTGTAATGTAGACTATTGCCCTTTATTTTTTTGTTGAAACTGTAGACATCCTGATCCTCTACAGTATTTGCTTCCACATACTGTATAAACCAGGGGTCGGCAACCTTTAGTGCTCCTCCAGTGGCTCCTGGAGCCTTTTCAAAAATGTCTGAAAATGGAGTGGGAGGGCTATATTTTATTTCTAGTTTGAATGTGGTTTCTGTAGGAGGAAAAACATTCCTAACGTATTTCAATGCTGTAAAAATGTGTATAAGTAATATTCAATTTCAACATTTCTGTCAACGTAGTGAGTCATATCCTGTGGCGCGGCCCCCAGGCGGCCGCTGCTGTAAACAAACCGGCGTGTGCGCACGGATCCCAAAGATAAAAAGAGAACGAGTCGATAATAAGACTGGACTAAGAACAAGACTGAACATTTGCTTTTAGTCAATGAGGAAGGACTGCTTCATGTTTGCGATGTAATAGGAAGTTTTGTTGCAACACGAGGAACAATGAAGCACTAAATACCGTTCACAGGGATTACGTGAAGGATTCTTTCATACAAAATCCGGAGCACCTTTTTCAGACTTCAAAAACCTCCGCAAAGACTGTGAAAGAAAAGGCCATTAAGGACATTCAGCTCCAGCAAACTTCAGCCTGTGACGTAATCGATATGAGCGGACAGTGCAGGTGTGTGACCTTTGAGCCAAAAAGCAGATTTATTTACTGTATTTCTACAGTTGCATGAAGGCAAAAAAATGGAAGTCAAAGTTAAAGCAGAGTCATCGCGTGGTGCGTCATTCTCTCCAGGACACGCTGCAGTGAAAATACACATTTGACAATCATGAATGCTTATTATGTATTTGTAGCCTTTACTTGGTCATTTAGATAATAGGCTAATGTAGCTAATGTAGCTACATTGTGTAACCTTCATATAAGCTTTATACAAGGCTGTTATTTTTTTGCGGCTCCAGACAGATGTTTTTAGTATTTTTTGTCAAATATGGCTCTTTGAACCTTTTGAGTTGCCGATCCCTGGTATAAACAAACTGTAAAAAACGTGACAAAAACATGCCTGGGCCGGTAAGAAGGAAAAAATGCCCGGGCCGTTTTTTTGTCCCAGTCCAGCCCTGTATGGGAGTAATGAGAAAAAAGTTTTGATTTGCCACCAGCTCAAAACTGCGCACAAGGCAGCTGTTTGTGCACTTTCCCACACTTCATCTTTACCTGGTGCATCAGCAACAACTGACACTAGGTTTGCTCTGGCGGACCGTGTCTGTGGCTTTTCGCAGAAAATAACGTTCAGAATATCACTACCGCTGGTACATTTATTTAAATCATTTGCAGTTGATCGAAGTGCACTGTGCACTCAAACTTGATAGGGAAACCTTTTTCTTAAATATTGACGTGTCCACAAACAAATGTGGACAGAATTTTATCGTCCTTTTGCAATATTTTGACGAGGACAGAGCCAAAGTGTTGACGCTCCATATCGCCTCAAGTAAAGCTACTCTCACTAATATTCTGTCAAAAAGTTGACTCGTTGCTTGATCCACTTATATTTCATATCAAAATACACTGTATATCTTTGAAGAATTCATTTGAGCTGTATTCAATATACAATCTATTATACAATAATATATTGTAATAAAAAATATAACTTGGTCCTGCATATTACTGTGATTTACATGTGATAAATTTCCATGCAAAAATTTTCAGTCAAATCTTTTTTTTTTGCTTTAACCCCTGCCGTATAAGCCCGACCAATGAACGCTGTATAACAGGCCCGAGCCCGACAGAACCCGACACATCTGATTTCCCGTTGTACGCACTCACCTTCCAATTGCAAGTTTAGTCTCCACTTTTGAATTTGTTTTGTCTCCACTTGATCCATTTCTACTATTGTTCCTGTTCGCTGTTGACCACAGCATGCAGCAGGAGACACGGGGATGATGCGTTCACGGCTCGCTGCTGCTGTAGGACACGCTGGTTACGGTGTCATTAATATATTAACTTTTTTTAATAACTTGTTGTCAATCAACGGACATTGTTATTAATAATATATATATATATATATATATATATATATATATATATATAATATATATATATATATAAATAATTACAGTTCCTTGCGAAAGTATTCGGCCCCCCTGAACTTTTCAACATTTTGCCACATTTCAGGCTTCAAACATAAAGATATAAAATTTTATAGTGGGACACAATCGTGAAGTGGAACAAAATTTATTGGATGATTTAAACTTTTTTAACAAATAAAAATCTGAAAAGTGGGGCGTACAATATTATTCGGCCCCTTTACTTTCAGTGCAGCAAACTCACTCCAGAAGTTCAGTGAGGATCTTTGAATGATCCAATGTTGTCCTAAATGACTGATGATGATAAATAGAATGCACCTGTGTGTAATCAAGTCTCCGTATAAATGCAGCTGCTCTTTGATAGTCTCAGGGTTCTGTTTAAAGCGCAGAGAGAACCATGAAGACAAAGGAACACACCAGGCAGGTCCGAGATACTGTTGTGGAGAAGTTTAAAGCCGGATTTGGATACAAAAAGATTTCCCAAGCGTTAAACATCTCAAGGAGCACTGTGCAAGCAATTATATTGAAATGGAAGGAGTATCAGACCACTACCAAGACCCGGCCGTCCCTCCAAACTTTCATCTCAAACAAGGAGAAGACTGATCAGAGATGCAGCCAAGAGGCCCATGATCACTCTGGATGAACTGCAGATAACTACAGCTGAGGTGGGAGAGTCTGTCCAAAGGACAACAATCAGTCGTGCACTGCACAAATCTGGCCTTTATGGAAGTGTGGCCATTTCTCAAAGATATCCATAAAAAGTCTGGTTTAAAGTTTGCCACAAGCCACCTGGGAGACACACCAAACATGTGGAAGAAGGTGCTCTGGTCAGATGAAACCAAAATCAAACTTTTTGGCCACAATGCAAAACGATATGTTTGGCGTAGAAGCAACACATAACCTTTTGGCCACAATGCAAAACGATATGTTTGGCGTAGAAGCAACACAGCTCATCAACCTGAACACACCATCCCCACCTCAGCTGAAAAGCAAAACTCTTAAGTGTCACTGGCAAACAAACTACAATTTGTCCCTTTGCAGGTAATGAGATGTCCAGGGGCACAGCATGTCTTTTTTTACATTATGCAGTCACTCAGAATTGCTCTAGACAATTTTATAGTTTCTTGTATTATTCATATACAAAATATAAATGTGAATTAATTTTCTATTTATGTAATAAAAGTTTGGTAAGACTTGGGTTTTCATTTAGAGACTTACAACACACATTTCCTCTTTAAATCAGCAAACCACAGAGACCGGAATGTTGCAATAGTGATGTAACTATGCTTCAGAAAAAGATTGTACCCAGCCTGGAGACACTTAGTCGCGACTTAGATCTGCACACTGGACTTTGTAATTACAGATCTTTTTGTTTGTGTCTGCAGCAAGATGACGAGCGAATCATTCAGGAGATCCAGAAGGAAGGGGAGGCTGAACTCAAGAAGAAGAGTGCAGGTGGGTGATTGTGACAAAAATGCAACTTTGTGAACATCTGAATGCTTGTATTAAACATTATTTTCATCTCCTTTGTTTTATAACTAGTATCAAGATGATGAAATTTTTTAGTTTTGTATAATCTAAAAAGACAAAGCCAGTAACTGTGCAATCTGTTTCTCAGATCATTCAGGGAAGAGGGTCGGCCCCCCTCCAGAAGCGGCGGCTGAAGCCAAGCGTCCTCGTGTGGGACCTCCTCCAGACCCAGCGCCTGTGCCCAACCCGGTGGTTCCTAATCAGCCACAGGCGGTGCAGGCTCCACTGTTTGTGCCTCCCCGTGGTCGGTATGCCCACCCCCCCCTGGCTCCCCACTTAGAAGAGCGGGTGGTACTGCCCCGGATCCTCCCTGAGCCCTATGCCCCCCTACTGCAGCTGCATATGAACAATAACCAGCAGCAGCAGAGGCGGCAACAACCTCCAGATCCACATCACTTCCTACATCACCATAACTGGGACATGATGCCAATGCACTATGGACCTCACCACCGCTACTACAGGCGATTTTAACAAGCCATTTGCAGGTTTACCTTTTCTAACTCAAACAAATTCCCTTAGACGTCCAAGTTTTGGCTGGTTCACATTAGATATATTTTTGGGTTGCTGCTGCATTGAAATTCCTGGACTCTGAACCCTTTTTGTTGCTTAAAGGGTTAAAAAAAGTAAAATAAAAAGACATGCTCATCCAGGGAAAAGAAAGGCAATAGACTGCAATAATGTTAAATTAATTTTAAAAATAAAAAAAATACGTTTTTTGGGGGGCATAATGGCATCAATGTTGGGTTGATAAGATGACTATTTAATGTACTAATAATACAGATAATTTCATGTGACATTCAATTTCGATTTGACCCAGTTCAAACGTAACTAGAGTTTAACTTGTGAACTGTTTCAGATAATTCGCTCAGTTCCCCAGTTTATGGTTTGTAGCTTCACAATTTATAATGTTGATTTACTTAATTTCCTTCAGTTCAATCAAGTTATGTTGAAGTATTTTCAATTTATACCAGTATTTTACAAATAAAGGTTTGAGTATTCCTTTGTCTATACTTGGTGTGATTTTGAAATGCACACAGTTTTTAAATACATGTTTATGTTTAAAAATGACTGCTAATATCCTTTCACCAAAATCCCCTTCCCTTTTCTATTCCGACATTTGGCGTCCCTCCCTCCCTTGTGCTTTTGGTAAAAAAGGGGCTGACTCATGATAATTGAACCCTTGGGCTATGCTCCAATCACATGACTGCGATCTGCTGTTTTTGTCCAATCAGAGGACGGCGCCTGTCATGCTCTCGATGTTAGCCGAGGGAGAGGAGGGGGATTCTTTTGTTCTTGCTAAAGTGTGCTGTGAGTGTGACAAATCATTTGGCTCCACACACACACAGCATCTTAGCACTGTAAAAAAAGTGGCCAGAGGAGCCCCCACAAGCACCCGGGGGTCCTAATTGTTTTAGTCATGGGCGGCAAGGGACCAACGCTGTTTTCTATGAGTGAGACAGTTGGACTTTAATCACATTCAGTATCTTATTACACTGACCATGAATTAATAATGCAGCATGTTCTCAATCTGAATACACAAGGGCATCGCCAAAGTGTCTGAAGGTCAAATATCTCACATCGACATAAACCGCTCTTTTATTGGTGGTTGGATTAATTGTATTGGTTGAAAATGTATCTGAATTGAGGATTACAAGGCATAGAGTTGTCTGTATTTTTAGAATTTTTCAGCGGTAGGTGATTAGCACAAATACAGATCATGGTAGTTGAGGATGCCTACAATAATTGATTTCTTAATAGTTAGATTTAAATATAGAAATATTATCTGGGAGGCCAATATGATTTAATCTGACTTCAAACTTGTTCATAGATGTTCATGCTACCACCATCCAGCCAGTGAGGCTTTTGATTAAGGATGACTAACCGATGTGTGGGGCTGACCCAGTTTGACCTGGAGACTTTTTGTCCCTGCCTCTTGGCTTTAGCAAACACTAGATAACAATTGCTTCTTTTGTGAATTACTCATAATGAAAATGGTTAAAGATGCCTCTAGGCCTCACCGATAAGTACTGTATGTGGGGATTACATTTTGAGGCATATGCCATTATGTGCTAATTACTCCATTTAAGTATGGGACAAAGACTGGCTTATGTGGGAACAATGCAGGGGAATCTTTTAAATACAATTTCAAACCCACTAGTCAAAATCGGGGCTGGCTTAATTTGTCATGGCTGATATGATGTAACTGCATCTTTTGACAGTATTGCTTTGACCCCCATTGAATGTTATTTGCATCTAAAGTTTATTTTATATAATCAGCGGCAGCAAAGTCAACAATGCATGCTTTCATCAAATCATTTCATTCAAATTTGAATTATGACTCTACTAGACTTGACCTCCCTATCTCTGGCTGCACCTTTGGCAGCAGCTTCCTGTTATTTTATATTGTTGTAAATGTGAGAGTTGACATTCTGTTATACACATGCAGTGACCGAGACAACCTTCACACTAGGGCCGACAGCAGTAGCAGCAGCAGGAGCAGCAACAGCACACTGTGGTGTTGTGTGAATGCTCTATTCTCTGTCCTCAGGGAACATGGATGTCTGGCAACATTATGTCCCCCAGACAATTTTACTGTTCACTGAACGCGGCTCCTGTCTGTGTGTTGAGTATGCAGAGAACATTGTTTTTACAGCTGAAATTTTGACTAGTAGATTTGTTCTGCAGGCTTTTGCACTAGAAGACTCAGAACGTAGGCTTATGGGGTTTCAGGCAAATCGTTTGTTACTGGTTTTAAGATTTTCTGAGACATTTTCGATTTGCATTGCTCAATTATTATTATTTTTGAACAGTACATCCAGACCTACCTATTTATTGTTTACTCAGGAGGCCATTCTCACTTTGGGCATTAGGAACACTGGACAGACGTGCCCTGTTCTCATGCCCAAAATTGCTATTTTCCATGATAATCAATTAACCAATGTCATATTTGTCAATGTGTCTGGAAGATTCCTCAGCCAGCGGGACAAATCGGAGCAATCAGTTTCATAGGTCTATGAGTTTGCAGCAACACTGAAAATAATGTGCCCTCAACCTCACCTCTTGAGATTACCCACCCGCTGACCCACTGACAGGCCAGGGACAGGAGCCGAGGGACACTGCTGCTGCTAGAGCACTTAAAAGACAGCAGCAGTGTTCTCTTCAAGCGGGTACCACAGGGAGGAGTGGCCCTGCCTGTTCCTACAATCAGCAGCTCCTTTTTGATCAAAGGAAGCACAAACTTCACCCCCTCTCTCGCCTCTCCCCTGGGCATCCCTCACCTAACCCCTGTTAAAGCCCCCTCCCCCTGCAAGAGGTGGCACTTCAGCTCTAATGAACCTCTTTGACATTCGCTCCATCCCATAATCCATTCACACTGTCCCAGATGCTGTTTCCATGGTAACGCCGTACCGGTCTGCGTGGCTGGAGTTGGCGCGTGCGCATGAAAGGGCGAGGTTCAGTCGGTGGCCATTTTGAACAATTTAAATTTGTTATTATTTATTTATATTATTTATTTAGGGTTTTATAACGTATGCCCACAGCCGCTCGAGTCAAACGTTTCTGGTGCTAATTCCTACCTGTAAAAGTGTCAGAGGCGAAAGGCTTTGGACTGTGGTGTTTTGGGGGTTTCTGGGAGCTCAGGTTGGAGGCCTCCATCATGAGCAGAGATGTGTACGGCGTTTGGTCAAGACGAGAGGTAATTGTGAAAGGAACACATTCAATCCGTGAAGGAGCAAAATAAAATACATAATAAACCTGTAATGTTATCGATTTTGTGCCAATATAATTAATAGGTTGCGTTAGATCGGTGCAAATAGTTTTTGATAAAAATGCTGAAATAAAATATATTCCCATCTTTGTGATTTGATTCAAACCTGCCATAATCTGTCTGAAAGTCCTTTTTACTGTCCAACATCATACATATGTTTTTAAATTGTCATCACTAAGAGAACCTTTGTTCATCCCACAGTGGGGAAATGTCAATGTTCAGATCCATCCAAAACATCAGATCCATCAACAATAAATCCTTCATCTGTCAGGACTTCATCACATACAACAACCTGGACTTCATGATTTTAACAGAAACATGGCAAGTGCAAGGCGACTGCACCCCCCTCATTGAAGCGACCCCCCCGGACTACACCTTCCTCCACCAACCAAGACTCTACGGTAAGGGAGGGGGGGTTGCAGCCATCTTTAAGAACACTTTTAAATGCACTCCTGGATCACAAAATGTTTTTACTTCATTTGAACACCTGTCTCTTATCATTTCATGTAAAACCCCAGTGTTTGTTTTAATTATTTATAGACCCCCTAAACCCAGCACTGTTTTTATTCAAGAATTTTCTGATCTTTTATCCCAGTGTATGGCCCTCCACAACAAAGTTTTAATCTTAGGTGATTTTAACATTCATGTCTGCTGCCCACATAAACCACACCCTTTAACCTCTGATTTTATTGATCTAATTGAGTCTTTTAATCTTCTTCAAATTATAAATGCTCCGACCCATTCTAAGGGCCATACACTGGACCTGGTTTTAACGTTTGGTCTCAGCGCAGGAAATGTCATCACCAAGGATATCTGTGTGTCGGACCACTTAGCTATTTTATTCGACGTTATTTTAGCCCCTCAGTCTGCCTCCAATGGGTCATTTTATCACTCTCGTGTTTTTAACTCCACCTCTGCTCTTAAATTTTCCCAACTTTTTACTGCAGCCTCCTTGACTACTTTTAACCAACATTTTAGCCTGGAGGAGCAGGTCTCCTCCTTTTATCAAACATCACATAGGATTTTAGACACGATTGCACCTTTTAAACAAAGAAACCCCACCAGAACACCACAACCATGGCTCAATGAAAACACTCGAAAGCTCTTACAGTCATGCAGACAGCTCGAACGGAAATGGAAAAAATCACACCTTACAGCATTCCACCTCGCCTGGAAAGACAGTCTCAAACAATATCAACACGTAGTCAAGGAAGCAAGAACTTTATTTTATTCAAACACTATCACCCAAAACAAATCGAATCCCAGAGTTTTATTTAAAGTTTTAAACTCTATTATAAATCCCAGTCCCTGTGTTTTTAGTGATTCATCCACTGAACAGTGTGAATTATTTTTAAACCATTTTATTCAAAAGATAACAGATATCCGGACCCAAATATCTGCTCCTAGCCAAGCCACTGTTTTAAATAGAGAAACTCTGGATTTTAGTTGTTTTACAAATTTTATGCCTTTATCCCTTTCTCTTTTATCTGACATTTTATTCCGCATGAAACCAACCACGTGCAGCCTCGATGTCATCCCCACCAAATTTCTCAAAGATGTTTTTAATGTGGTTGGACCCTCCATTTTATCAATCCTTAATCAGTCCCTGGATCAAGGTCTTGTCCCATCCAGTTTTAAACATGCTGTGGTCCAACCACTTTTAAAGAAGCCTAATTTAAGCACTACAGATTTTAACAATTTTAGACCCATTTCTAAACTCCCGTTTTTATCTAAGGTTTTAGAGAAAATTGTTTCTATTCAGATTTTAGATTTTATTAACAATAACCACATCTTTGAGAAATTCCAATCCGGTTTTAAAGCACAACACAGTACTGAGACAGCTCTCCTTAGAGTTTTAAATGACCTTCTTTTAACCACGGACAGCGGAGAGTGCTCTATTTTAATTCTTTTAGATTTAAGCTCTGCCTTCGACACTATAGACCACGATATTTTATTGGATCGCCTCAAAACGTGGGTTGGCATCAGAGATACTGCACTTGGTTGGTTTCATTCTTATCTTTTAGAAAGAACCTTTGCGGTCACCATGGGTGATTTTACCTCCTCAACAGCCCCCATCACCTGTGGTGTGCCGCAAGGTTCTATTTTAGGCCCCATTTTATTCTCTATTTATATGCTCCCCCTAGGACACGTTATGGCCCGTCATAACGTGTCCTTCCACTGCTATGCGGACGGCACACAGATCTACCTCCCGCTGAGACCAAACGACCCTGGAAGTCTGGCTGCTGTGGTCGACTGTTTTAATGATGTGAACCGTTGGATGGCCCATAACTTCCTTCAACTCAACACCTCCAAATCAGAAGTCCTCCTCATCAACCCGCCTCCATCCATATCCCACATCCAAACCCACCTCGGCCCCCTGTCCTCAAACATCACTCCCTCCGCCCGTAACCTCGGTGTCATTTTTGATTCTCACCTCACCTTCCGCTCCCACATCAATAAAACCACCCAAACCTGCTTCTATCACCTCCGCACCATCTCTAAGATTAAAAACATTCTCACTCCTCCCGATCTCCATAAAGTCGTCAACGCCCTCATCTTCTCCCACCTCGATTACTGTAACTCCCTCCTCTCCGGTCTTGATGCTAAATCCCTCTCCCGCCTCCAACTGGTTCAGAACGCAGCAGCCAGACTTCTCACTGGTTTTAACAGACAGGAGCACATCACCCCTGTTTTAGCATCCCTCCACTGGCTCCCTGTGCGATTTAGAATTGATTTTAAGATTTTACTGATTACTTTTAAAGCTCGTTTAGGTCTGGCACCAAGCTATATTTATGAACTTTTAACCCCCTACGAGCCCCCCCGCAGCCTTAGATCCTCGGGCAGGTCCTTGCTGACCATTCCAAGGTCGAGGCTCCGGACGAAAGGTGATCGAGCCTTTTCTGTCCGGGCTCCTCGGCTTTGGAACGACCTGCCCGAGGAGATAAGGCTAGCACCATCAGTATCCTCTTTTAAATCTCTTCTTAAAACCCACTTTTATAAAACAGCTTTTAATTGTCAGCTTTAAACTTATAACGTTGTATTTTACTGTCTGTCCTGTCTGTTTTGTGGTCTTGTGTTTCCTCTGTTTGTCTTGTCTTCTTGCATTCATTCTTATTGTTTTAACTTTGTATTATGACTGATGTATTGTTTATTATGCTGTGCAGCACTTTGTAAACATTGTTTTTGAAAAGTGCTTTATAAATAAAGATTTATTATTATTATTATTAATGTTGCAGCTCACCTACAGGACAGAAGTATGCGCACAGGGAGCACACAAATATAAGTCGCTGCAATGTTCCTTAGCTAGCTGCTTTAATATCTATAGTGTAAAGTTATATACATATGCAGGAGTTGTGAACCTTTTTTTTTTTCTATACTAGAATTTGATTTTTGACCAAAGAATGTTCAGCTGCCCTCCACCACGACAGGTTCTTTGCAATGTTGTATTGTCACATGAACAGAACCCATTACTAGCCAAAATGTATAGAGTTACAGGAATAACATAGCAAAATAAACATGTTTTATAAATCCAGTTGGGGATAAAATGCACCTGTAACTAGCTACACTGGAGCTTCTGCATGCTAAGACCAATATGAATCTGAATTATTCAAATGAATTATGTGACAAGGCGATACTGTGATGAGCTCGGCCAATCTTTGGGATATTTTACAAGCCTCATCTCTATCATCCTGTGATTGGAACTTCTTCCTGTAGGAAATGTTTTACAGCTATATTTTGCCTCTTCATTTAGTAGTAATAAGCAGTAACGAAAACATGTAATTGGTAACTAACGCGCTCATTTACTCTTTAGGTACAACATCATACCTGCAACTACGATTGAATGAATGAACGACTCAATCAGCTTTCCAAATCCCAGTTTTTTTATTGGTTGTTGGATTTCAGGTGAACCAATGGCACAAGAGATTATTCATCCACAATATCAAAAAATTATACAAAATAATACAAAAGGAACTTCCAGTTTTACAAAGCAAAGATGTGGACTCATTTTCCAAATCTTCCGTTTCCGTTTACATTTTCTCACTGCGGCCCAGAGTATCATCGTCTGTGCGTGTAAGGCACAGTCATTACCACATGTTTAACTCGCTGTCGGTTACTATCGGAGAACCCTCAGAGCAGACAACTGTACAGACCTGTGAGATAAAGCAATGATTGGCTTTGCACCTGGAGAATTTGAGACGAGTTAAGGACCACTTTGTCGAATTGTACAAAATGACAAAGAAAAGAGCCCTGATGTGCAATGATAAAAACAAAACATGTTAGCAAGGTTTTTTTGTTTTAACTTCCTGCCTGAAGACGGGAATAGAGATGATTCATTTAAGTTCAGTTAAGGCTGTCAACATTCAGACAGTAATGAAAACCAAAAAAACAAATTATACGTAAGGCTTGCAACAGGTTGTGCTCAGCAGATTATGAAACGTGTGTCATTGAGATTTCGTAGCACCAGAAATCTATGAGATGTTTAAGGTTTTGTCGAACGTAAACGCTTTGAACAGGGGCTTGTGACATTCCTATACCCACCTGACTTCCCTAATGATAATGTCTGTGCCTTGTAAATAGATTTTTTTTTTTTCTTCCTTCCAGTACGACAGGAGGTGAGTGCAGTAAACAAAACTGACCGCACTCCTTTTATTCATTTGTAAATTCTGGACAAACACACGCGGAGCTTAAAAGTGGGAGGGGTCGGCTTCCTACATCCTGTTTGGTCCAGGACATTCAGACTCCCAACCGAGGAGAGGACATTGTTTTATAGTGAAATATGTTAACACTTTGAGATGAGACTCTTTTATAATTTTAAAATCCAGTTTTATCATGGACATGGGCATCGTGGCCATCTCCAGAAACATACATAGTGATCCAACATTGGGGAGGCACTGCAACGCAACCCAACGAACAAACAGGAAGTCCCGTTTCGGCCAAATTAGATCAAGTAGCAGCATCTCCCAGTCGGATGTCATAAATACTGCCATCGTGTGCTGCTCACAATAGAGACATTAAGAGGAGGGGGGCGGCGGAGTGGACATAGATAGGGGCTTTATTGTTGTACTGCTCTGCTCTGGTAAAAGGGACCGAGCCACACTGGGAGGCCCAATCATAAGGCGAGGATGGGAGGAGTGACAGGTCGAGCAGCCAACCAGATTGGAGCAGGAAAAAGTGCACAGCCCCACTGTAACTATGGAAACTAACAATGAAAAAAGGTTTTGACACTGTGGTACAGAGCTGGGAAGGTATATAAACGATCCTTCCTTAGTAGTACAGTTCAACATAAAGAGCAGATAGGTAGAAGGGAGGACGGTATTGTGTGGTCGTTTCTCTCAGTACTCCCAGAAGGTGGCCGTCTCCAGGTCGTCGGCGTTGGCCTTGAGCACACCAGCGTGGTCGCCGCGCAGGTACTTGTTGTCGCCGACGTGACGGATGGCCAGCTTGTTGTAGTCGCAAAACTCAAACAGGAAGTCGACGGGCGTGTCACTGCTGCTCACCACCGACTGTTCATTGCCCACCATCCAGTATTTACCTGTGGAGTCTGAAACCAGGAACATAAGGATTTCAATGATTGTTCTAAAGCAGGAGTCTCAAACCGGTTCCAGAAAGGGCCAGTGTGGCTGCAGGTTTTACTTCCAACAGTTCCAAACTGAGCAGGAGCACAGATGACTCCACCCATTTCCTCAGGTGAGTCCAGCTTTAACCTGAAGATTTGAGGAAATGGGTGGAGTCATCTGTGCTCCTGTTCAGTTTTAACTGTTGGAACTAAAACCTGCAGCCACACTGGCCCTTTCTGGAACCAGTTTGAGACCCCTGTTCTAAAGACTGGAGAGCACTGGGTGTAACTAGGACTATGTGGTACACACTAAAATCAACAACTTCTCATATGTATTGTTGATAGGCTACAATCGGGCTACAGAGAGGAGAGGGAAGGCACCTTGCAGGCTGTAGGCTCCATCTCTGAACTCCAGGGTGAAGTAGTCGTAGGACGAGCGGTTCGAGTCCAACGTTCCGGTCACTTTCCTGCAGCCGATGAAACCGTGTTCTCCGCGCAGCACAATGATTGGACGGTTGATCAGCTTCATGATGAACTCTTCACTGGGACCTGAAGCCAAATGCCATCTGTGAGTGGACTGCCACTAATACAGTCCACTCACAATGATGCCAGTGATTCTAAAACTGGGGTACCTAACTTTAAACCATAAATGTTTGTTCCAACATGAAGAGTTTTCCTAAAGTAAAACATTTTAACAAATCAGACCACAACATGCAGTTTTCATCTGATTAGTAAACATATCTTTGTTACTTTTTGAAGTCTGAAAATGCTGATCTAAAGATATGACCAAATGCATGCATGTGAGAACTAGTGACGGAATTTTTCCGATCGCATGGCACCAGACAAATTGCGCTGTGGCAAGAGCGCTGGTGGTTTTACTGCAAATGGTAAATACATTTTTGAATCTTGAACCAAACCATTTTAAAGTCAAGGAACTACTTAGATGGAGTTTATTACAGTTCTATTTTTGGTTTTAAATTATATAGTTTTATGTTATATTGCTGTTTTATTACTGTGCTTTGTGTTAATTAAATGAACTGAATATGAATTTGGAGCAGCTGTTGTAGTTATAAAGATGCTTTATAGAGCATCTATATCAAAAATGTCTGCTGAATAGATCTCACTATGGGTCAATGGTAAAAATGTATACAGTACATGTACAAAGGTATCAATTTAAAAAAAACTGCTTATGAGGCCTAACCTTCAAGATTAAACTGCATTAATAGAGTAGGAATCTAAAAGTGCCCCACTCAAAGCAAAAAGGTAATTCTCCTACAATCATCGTCTGACCTACGTACCTGCAGCATCGATGGTGGCTGCGAGCTGTCCGTTCTTCTTGGCAGCGACATATTTCCCGTTGGCTGCACGCAGAGTCAGTCTCTTCTCACGCCACTCAATGTCAAAGTAGCAATTGGCCGACCTGCACAAGGAGAGGGAACGTAAAGGTGTGTGTGGAATCAGAGAGCTTTTTAAAGTTACATGGCAAGAGCGTGTCAAATGCAAGCACCAGAGTTTCTCACCAGTGGCACACCTGTTTAAGTGATAGTTCAGAGCTGAGGGGAAAGCCTCACTCTGGGATGTTAATCAAATAGATAATTAAAAGACTTTCACTTTGTTTTTCTGGTGGAGTTTGTGGTATCTTGCGGAGATAGGGAGAGTCGAGTAACAGGAATGTGATGCTGGAATGTAAATGCGAAAGTGAAGACTCGGCAGTCTCATCTTTCGAAAACAAAGGACTGGTATTTGCCACGTGTTGAAGGAACAAAAAATGTGACCTTCTTAAAATGGAAGGAATGTATCAACTGTTTTCATTCAGTCTGGATTCATATTGTTGCACATGTACTCGCATAAGGACTTAGTGAAGCATGGAAAAAGTGTCATTTGATAAACTGGAGGGGGTGGTGTTGCAGGCCTCTGGGAAATGCACAACTGACATAACTGCTCCTCAACTGAAAAAAACTCAAACAGATTCTCCTCAACTGGTTTTACAGCATTACCAGTATTTTGAAAGAGGTTCTTTGTTCCAATGCTTTCTGAACTGTATGAGAAAACCATTTGCGTAGGAGTTGCTTACTTGGTGGAGGCGGTGCACTGCAGTCCCCCGTTGGCCATGAGGGTCCAGTATTTGCCCGCAGCGGTCCGGAACGCGCACTTGCGGTTATCGCGACAGATCTCCACTTGGAACACCTCCTGGTCACCCTCTTCGTCCTGATTGGCCGAGAGGTCCATACCTACGCATGGCACAAAGCTGAGGGTAGGTCACATGTGCAAAACATGTCAGACTGCATGGATCAGAGGGGCACAGCTGCACACAGAGGCCCACGCACATCTGTCACAGCCCAGACAAGCAGGCAAAGATCAAAGGATTAGCTGCTTTAAGACAATGAAAAAACATATGGATTCAACTGCTATAGAGAAACGCAAACTGAGTAGAAGCTTTAGTTAATGTGATGATCTCTGAGAGCCAAGGATCATAGTGGATGCAATGTGCCTAGCAAACAGTAAAGTAGCTTGTGATTGATGTATTGAAACCATATACCTAAAGATGGGGCTTTTAATTGTTTTCTTGGTTTTTGATACAAGATGGCGCCTCGTACGGTCGACATGGCTCTTTGCTGCTCTCTTTTTCTTTTGTTTTTACTTTTTAACTGTGCATCTGGCTGTTCCTACACCCGTGAGGAACTTATGAACATCCGACCCACCGTTCCCATGGACCTATTGCCTGTTTTCTTGGCATCTGCGGCTGATTTAGTTCATGTTCTAGCCAAAAAAGTGTGGGCCCGTAAAAGGGGAAAGCGAGGAGGCCTGCTCGTGCGTCTTAGGAGGAGAGGAGCGCGCACGGCTCTCCCCGGCATTTTTCTCTCCAACGTACGCTCACTGGGCAATAAGATGGACGAACTCAGCCTGCTCATGAGAAGAAACAAGGACTTCGCCACATCCTGTGTCCTCTGCTTCACTGAGACCTGGCTAAATGAGCGGATCCCGGACTGCGCTCTGGAGCTGCAGGGCTTTGGGCTGTTTCGCGCGGATCGCCATTGTGCGCTCTCAGGGAAGAGCAGAGGCGGAGGGCTCTGTTTCTACGTCAATACAAACTGGTGTAACGATGTGACAGTGATCTCCAAGCACTGCTCTCCTGCTCTGGAATATCTTTTCATTCATTGTAAACCATATTACTCCCCGCGGGAAATTGTTTCATTCATTCTTGCCTCTGTTTACATACCGCCATGCGCGGACGCGCGCGAGGCTCAGCGCGCACTCGCAGAGCAAGTACTGTGTATGGAACGCTTATACCCGGACTCTCTGATTATTATCCTGGGGGATTTTAATAAGGGAAACTTGAGCCAGGAATTACCCAAATACAGACAGTTTATCAAATGCCCGACCAGAGAGGAGAACACTCTGGATCACTGTTACACCACCGTGCGCGGAGCTTTTCGCGCTGTTCCCAAGCCAGCCCTCGGCTTCTCAGATCACTCCATGATACATCTGGTTCCTGCTTACAGACAGAGACTAAAGCTCTCGAAACCTGCAGTGAGGAGCTCCAAAGTGTGGTCTGATGAAGCTGTGGAAGAGCTACGCGCATGCATGGAATCTACAGACTGGGACCTTTTCAGAGCTGCCACAGACAGCTTGGATGAATATACGGACACTGTGACGTCATACATCCACTTCTGTGAGGATAGCATCATTCCAACAAGGACCAGGGTCATCTATAACAACGACAAACCCTGGTTCACTGCTAAACTCCGGCAGCTCAGGAAAGCAAAGGAGTCTGCTTTCAGGGAGGGGGACCGCAGCGGCTACAAAGCAGCTAAATATCAGTTCAGGAAAGAACTGAAAGCAGCCAAGTCCCGGCACAGAGAACGACTACAGGAGCAGTTTGGTAACAACGATACTGCTTCTGTCTGGAGGGGCCTACGGGAGATCACCAACTACAAACCCAAAGCCCCCCCCTGTGCTGATGACCACAAGCTAGCTGACGATCTGAACTTATTTTTCAGTCGCTTTGATGCTGCCCCTGACACCTCTCCCTCCCCCACCCCCCACTACTCTAACGACCCACCCATCAGCCCTGCCCCCAGCCTAACAATAGCCGCTAAAGAGATTAAACAACTCTTCCTGAGGCTGCACCCCCGCAAAGCTCCTGGCCCGGACCACGTGTCTCCGGCCACTCTGAGACACTGCGCCAGTGAGCTTACTCCTGTGTTCACGGACATTTTCAACACCTCTCTGCAGTCCTGCCATGTCCCGGCCTGCTTCAAATCCTCCATCATTGTCCCCGTCCCGAAGAAGCCCAGGATCACAGGACTCAATGACTACAGACCTGTAGCACTTACGTCTGTCGTCATGAAGTCATTTGAACGCCTGGTTCTCTCCCATCTCAAGTCCCTCACCTCCCCCCTCCTGGACCCCCTGCAGTTCGCCTACAGAGCCAACAGATCTGTAGACGACGCCATTAACCTGGCCCTCCACCACATCCTACAGCACCTGGACTCCCCGGGGACCTACGCCAGGGTCCTGTTCGTGGACTTCAGCTCTGCCTTCAACACAATCCTGCCATCCCTGCTCCAGGACAAGCTCTCCCAGCTCAACGTGCCCGATTCCACCTGCAGGTGGATCACTGACTTCCTGACGGACAGGAAGCAGCGAGTGCGTCTGGGGAAGAATGTCTCGGACTCTCGGATTATAAATACAGGAGCCCCACAGGGCTGTGTTCTTTCTCCCCTGCTCTTCTCCCTGTACACCAACCACTGCACCTCCAGCCACGACTCCGTGAAGCTGATCAAGTTCGCGGACGACACCACCCTCATTGGACTCATCTCCAACAACGATGAGTCCGCCTACAGGAGGGAGGTGGACCGGCTGGTGTCCTGGTGCAGTGGTAACAACCTGGAGCTGAACGCCCAGAAGACAGTGGAGATGATTGTGGACTTCAGGAAGAGCACTGTCCCCCCGCCCCCACCCTCCGTGATGGACTCCCCCATCACCTCTGTGGAGTCCTTCCGTTTCCTGGGCACCACCATCACCCAGGACCTCAAGTGGGAGCCGACCATCAGCTCCCTCATCAAGAAGGCCCAGCAGAGGATGTACTTCCTGCGGCAGCTCAGGAAAGCCAAGCTGCCTGCACAGATGTTGGTGCAGTTCTACACGGCCATCATCGAGTCCATCCTCACCTCCTCCATCACCGTGTGGTTCGCTGGAGCCACAGTCAGGGACAAACAGAGACTACAGCGCATTGTGCGCTCTGCAGAGGAAGTGATCGGCCGCAGCCTTCCATCGCTGCAGGACCTGTACGTCGCCCGAGCTCGAGGCCGGGCTGGTCGTATCACAGCCGACCCCTCTCACCCTGCACATGGACTATTCCAACCACTCCCCTCAGGCAGGAGGCTGCGGTACATCAGGACTAGAACCTCCCGCCACAAGAACAGTTTCTTCCCCTCTGCTGTTGGACTCTTGAACACTTCTTAACCTGTCCCCCCGCCCTTTATAAAGTCACTTTACTGCCCATCATACGTCACTTTACTTCACTGTACTGCTGTCACCTTACATTGTGTGCACCATGTGCACTTGTATATTGTAAATAGTAACTGTAACTCTATTTTAAATTTAAATTTATTCTTTAGAAGTGTTTTTTATTCTTATTTTTATTATCTCTTTTTGACTGTTGCACTGAGCCAAAGCAATTTCCAAGTCTGTGACCTCCCGTTACTTACGTTGGCAATAAAAATGATTCTGATTCTGATTCTGATTCTGATTTCTTATTCCGATGGAATCGTAATTGTCAAACTCAAGATTGTCGTTGGGATTGATCCAAATTTAATTCCTATCTATTAGTGAGAAGGGGATTTTCACAAGCTTTAAGTACCTCTAGATAAGATCAAATTAATTGATCTCACAATGGAGAAATTTACAAGTCTCTCAAGTATAGTCTGCTTTCTTAACAAGGTCATACACAATAGGATGGTGAACTTAAAACCGAGATATCCTTCACACCATAAAGAAAATGGAACTATACGTAATAATAAAATCCACGCATCTAGCTCTCACGCAGTTTTGTTCTGTCACTAGTTTTGAGGGAAAAGTGAAAAATAGGACCTTTCTTGCTAAGCCAATCAGCTCAAAGCATGCAATAATTACAATACAATACAACAATAGTTACAGTAAATTCTAATAAAACTTTGATCACAACATTTACTTTTACAAGACTGCTGGGACAAACTAATTATAAATGTTATGCACTCCATCGTTCCACTGATTTGGTGGTTTTAAAAGACTTCAATACGACTACAATGAACAGTAGTACATTATTTGCCAGTCTTTCAGTCTAAATAATGGGTGAGTTTATACATGTCACTGTTCATATACACAACACGAGTGCAGACCTCTTTAGCCTCCATCAACCCACTTAGAGGTCCAAACAAAGAGATAAATCATAAAGCACTACTACAGCAGGCCACTCCCGTCAAATAGGCACATATCACACAAAGCATCTATTGTATGTCGTGAGGTCAGTGTGGACGGGCCTATAGCCCCTGGGTCCAAAGGGAAAAATACATGGACTGTCTGCAGTGTTGTGTTAATGTGTGCAGATCAAGACACTGGGAGGATTCAGAAATTAAATGTTTGTCTCTTTAACCCTTCCCCCAGTGTGCCATTTTTGTCCAAGTTTTCTATGGAGTCCAATTGGATTCACTCGACAAATGTACGAGGAGCATGTGACCACTTTAAAGTTAGGCTCAAAATCTCAAAGTCATGCAGTTTGATGTTTTATAAAAGGTTAAGTTGCCATAAGGAATATAAGCCAATTATAAAAAGAAGCGTTATTCAGTCCATCCCCACGACAATTGTTGTTTTGTTTCATTGAACAAACCCCCATTAGTAGATCATGTCGTTGTCATTCTTAAAGACCTCTTTGTGAAGCCCGCTGGGAACATTACATAAGTTTAAGCGATCTAAGTATTTGTAGAAGAAATGGACACTGCTGCTCTCCCACTGAGGCCATGGACACAATATTGAGTTTCAGGAGAAATATGTGGGATGAACACACGCAGATGACGGAGAAAAAAAGAGAAATAACTAATGGGAACCACATGGAGCAGGGAAGTGAAGGGGGCGGAGGGGGAGCGAACAAGAGGAACGAGCACGGACACAGTAGCACAGTTTATCACTACAGCAGCTACACACACACCATCTGCTGAACGTCTCTGCCCTGAAGAGAAATTGCCTTCAC